AAGGCTACCAAATCAACGAAAATTTCGCCATATTGGAGCCGAAAAAAATTAATTATAGCTAAACAAAACAAAGTTAGACTGCCATTTACATTCAGTGGCTTCCCATATGATAGATGAAGAGATTAAAAAATAGATTGAGTTAAACAATTGATATTTTCAAAAGTTATCGTGTTTACAAGCCTTGGGGACATGATAAATCCACACCATAAGCCACTAAAATCCCTTTTTTATTTAAAAATAGCAATTAATCGATTAAAAAAAATATTAATAAGTTCAACAATCATTTATCTTTCTAACAATATGCTTTTTATATCATTTATATGTATAATATGATTGATAAATACGATTTTATTCGATAAAACGTTGGATTCTTAATTTTTAGGTGATAGTAGAGCATACCATGTGCTTTCGCTTAAGGCATGCAATATATTAAAACAGCCATGTATAACAAAGGCCTGTTTTTTTTTTTTAAATAAAAATTTGTTATAAACGATTTTAATTTTTTTTAGTACTATGTTATATATGGCTGTTTTTGTAATTTTTTTGCTTTAATAAACCGGGGTTTAAAAGTAGTTTTTATCAAACTATTTATATTAAATTAAAAAAAGCTAGTATAAACGTATAAAAAATATATTTCAGAATTTTTTTAAAAATCATCATTTTGCCTAGACAATGAAATGGTTTTTTTTTAAATATTAAACTTGTCTATTTGTTTACAAACAATTTCTTAAAAAATACATAATTTTTATTCTGCGTTTATTAATTTAATTGTAGCATACAAAAATAGCAATATAATTACATTTGTCAAAAAAATTAAACAACATAATTTTTAATATTTCATTTTTTGTTAATTTAAAAACATTATAACAAACAAAATATAAAACTTTAATAAACTTTTATTACGAGATCTTGATAAGTATGTATACAAGGACTCCAAGAAGTAAAAAATATAGGTTAATTATTTAAACTTTTATGCAGACTTTCGTAAAAACAGACATTGGAAAAAAATTGTTAATCAACAATCGTATAACTTTTTAAAAATCTACATAAAAAATTTGGTCCTACGGATCTTTACTAGGCTGCACTAAAAGTATCGGGAATAGAATATTTCCACTGTTCCTGTCATATTAAAATCTTTTTAACTGAAAACTCCTTGGTTTTAAAAATCGAATACCATTTATTTATTTAAAAAAAGATTCTCGGTCTTGCCACAAGGTTTTATCAAACTTGTTTAGTCGTTGAGAAAACGGAATTGACTCGAGAAAATTCAAGAGCGATGATTTATTATGACTTTCGAAGTGGTTTAACACAAAAACAGTGTGTTGACCGGATGATTTCTACATTTGGTGTTCATCACCAAATGTAGAAATCATCCGGCCCCATCCAAAACCACAATTTATCGCTGGTTTGCTGAATTTCAACGTGGATGTGTCAAGCTCAGTGATGATCCCCGTCAAGGTCGTCCAAAAACTGCAGTCACCCAAGAAAACGTTGATGCTGTGCGTAAGCTGATTGAGGAATATCGACATGTGACATACCGCGAAATTCAGGCAACTTTAGACATTGGCATGAGTCAAATACAAATAATCTTGCATGAACAATTAGGTGTAAAAAATTTGTTTTCCCGATGGATACTGCATTCGCTCTGTGAAGAGCAAAAAGCGGCTCGCGTTACTTGGTGCGTCAGAACTCTCGAAAGATTCCACGCAGGATCCTCAAATGCTGTATACAACATCGTATCAGGTGACGAATCCTGGATATACGCGTACGAACCCGAAACAAAAAATCAGTCACGAGTTTGGGTTTTCGAAAATGAGTTAAAGCCAACAAAAATTGTTCGTTCACGGAGTGTTGCAAAAAAAATGGTGGCCACGTTTGTCTCCAAAACCGGCCATGTTACGACTATTCCTCTTGATGGACAAAGAACGGTTAATGCAAAATGGTATGCTAGCATTTGTTTGCCACAGGTCGTTTCTGAACTCCGTAAAGAGAACTGCAACCGCCGCATCATCCTCCATCACGACAATGCGAGTTCTCATACCGCACACAGAACAAAAGAGTTTTTAGAGCAAGAAAACATAGAATTATTAGACCATCCGCCGTACAGCCCCGACCTTAGCCCTAATGATTTCTATACTTTCCCTAAAATAAAGAATAAATTGCGTGGACAGAGATTTTCATCACCTGAAGTAGCTATGGACGCCTACAAAACGGCCATTTTGGAGACCTCAACTTCCGAATGGAATGGTTGCTTCAATGATTGGTTCCATCGTATGGGAAAATGTGTCAAATTTCGCGGAGAATACTTCGAAAAGCAATAAACACATTTTTAAATAGTAATGTTCTGTCACTTCCTTGATTCCCGAAATTTTCAGTGCCGCCCTCGTATTTATTCAAATGTTCGTATGATATTTTTTTCAAATTTTTAAATTAATATTTAATACTATAAATAAAAGTAATAAATAATGGAGAAAGAAAATTAATAAGTTTAGAGTTATTAAAGAAATACTAAATATCTTTTATTTTTATTAATAACAATTGCAATTTTTATGTCGTCGTCGAGATACATTTTTCTAGACGTCATTACGAATCCAATGAGCTATCGCACATATTTTTAAGAGCGGAAACAAGAATTAACACGTTTTTGAACTTGTTAACTGGACTATCAATCGTGGTTCCATATAAATTGAAGAAAAAAATTACACCCCTTGTGGTGGCAAAATAAGGGATGAAGTTTTTAATGTAATTGTTACATGCGGCTTTGATATTCCTTAGTCCACTCAAATGTGACTAAAAATTATATTTTTATTAAAACGCAAAAGTAGACTTCAAAAAATTGAAATAATTAGTTTCACATTCATAAGTCGTGGGTTAATTTTTTAAACACTATATTTTATATCTTAGCACATAGTTCTTTGAAATCGGCTGCTATTTTTTATTAAATGTTTATTTTGTTTATGTAATAGGTTTATATCACAGCTTAAAGACAGTATACTTTACACTGTGGTTATACTGAAGAAATGTTTGTGTAGATTACGCGCAAAAGATGTCGATGTAGGTGGTTTGTTGATTGTTGTGTCCTTGCATCCAAGGAAAATAATATTATATGTCGTAGGCGACCGTATTCTAGTAGTATATATTGTATTTACAGTACATCGCCAATAAACAAATCGCGTACTTCCCTTAAACAGTAGGTTAGTTACTTTTACGACTCTGATGTTTCCTATTTTATTATTTAGTACTTTGGGTGTTCAATAAAAGTTAGAATGAGTATGTTATTTAATTTTTTATTAATTAACTTTTATTTAATTCCTTTTTATTTTTCAACATGATTGTCGGTTTGTCGGGTGTAAGTCCAACAAATTATTTGGTAATAATGGTAAAACACAGAAGTAATTGCGCAAGGATATGTTAATGGTAATGGTTAATGGGTGTGAGCACACGCGGCGTAGTCACTAACCGATTGTGAACTCTCTTATTGGCTATTGCGATGAGATATTTAAGCCTAGTAAAACATTATTGTACTTCGTACAATAATGACGTTTTAATGTGATACACTTTAAATTGTGTTTTTTCGAAATTTCATATCTGTTCCTTAATCATCTTCAAATCTCTGTCATCTGTCATCTCAGATATTTGTTCAATCTCTTAAATAGATAGAAATCACTAGGTGCTAGGTCTGGTGAATGTGGAGAATTCTCAAGTATTTCAATTCGATATGAATTGAAGATATTGTAAAACGGTGCCTTATCTTGGTGAAACAAAACAGTGCTCTCTCCTCCTCCAACAATTGCCTCGCATTTTCAGACGGATTTCGTGGCGCAATTTTTTTAAATTGTTCTACATACAAAATGCCCGTAACAATAGCTATACGATTGAGATTTTCAATAATTACTATCCCTTGACTATACCTACCCAGTAAGAGGCTTTACCAGCTTATTTTTACTTTTTTTTTTAAGTCCAACCGCATTTTCAATTTTTGAACGCCCCTCGTATGTTGAGAGAATGAGACACTTTGTATGTTATGTTGCTTCTTGCTTCTGTCTAAATCGCGGTATATATGTAATTCTTACTATATAAATAGAAGAAATTTTACCAGTTACCAAACAAAAAAAGAGTAATTTGTTAGTAATAGCTTAGCAGTATAATATTTCCGGAGCAGATGTTAGCAGGTGATCAAGGAAAGATCAGCATCATCAGTTATTATTTACGCTGAACATGTCATATGGTGCAAGTAGAAAATGTAGGTCCTAGTGTGAACTCTAACCGTAGCAGCGATCATAATCACTCAAAAAGAGGCAAAATTGGATTCTTAAACATAGGTGCACTCACTTGTCATTATCTACTCTTATCTGATGTAGCGCTGTGCTTAAGGTTAGAGGTAGGCTTGGATATAGTGTTTTGCTAAATAACCGTGCAAGTTATTTAACTGAAAACAGCAGCCACAACTTGTTTTGCTAGACATAGTTATAGCATGTGCGTTCGATTATTTAATTTACTTCCGAACCATATTCAAAACTTGACATTTAATCAGTTTAAAAAAGTTATTTTCGGGACTCTCATTGAAAACTGTTTTTATGACGTAAATTAATTTATCAAATTCTGCCGTGACGGTCACATCAAGCGAATTGTTATTGATATTTTAAATTTTAAATTGACAAATGAATTAGAATTTGTAAGATTAACATTATACTAGTTTGACATTATGCATTATGATATGACCATGCCTGTATATTTTTTTAATTTTTTTCCCTCTTTTTTACATCATTGACATTATACTGTTTTATTAAATTTTGATATGAAACGTTATTGTTATTTTGTAATTTTATAATTTTAATTATTCAATTGCATGCCGACTTAATATTTGCATACCGATAAATCGGTAAAACATGCATGTTCACACTATATTATAAGACCTAAAAATGTACCATGTTTTAAATGCAAATAAATATTTTTAATATATTTTTTAATATTAACAACTGTACGTTGTATTATTACAGGGAATCCTCATGTTCCACCATCGACAATTGTAGCTAAAATTATGGAGTGTATATTGCAAGACAATGTTTGTCGAGAGGAAGCCCTGATGAAAACCCGACACTCCATCGCGGATATGCGAAGTCCGCCAGCCGTCCACGCTCATTTGCTTCGTGCCGCGTTGAACAGGCAGACAACAAATTATTAAGAGGCCATTTTACTTATAAAAACAACATAGAGTCCTTACTTAATAGGATACGATATTATAATTGTTTAAATATATCTTAAATTGCTTGGTCCTTTATTTTTTTAAGATATAGTTCTTTGCTAAGGGAAAATATATAATAAAGATAAGAAAATATAATATATATGTCGGAAAAACATCAGGATAGCATTAATTGTTAAAAATAATAAAAGTGTGATAGTGGATGTTCAACTTGCCCACTTGATTACGCAATTAATCATTAATTATAAGACAATTAATCATAAGACAGCGTAATGCACTGTACATTCAGCAGTATAAAGTAGTTACAGTTCGACCACACCGTAACACGTCCCCGCCACAATCACACAGCAGTGTAACGTGAGGTACGTAATTACATGATAACACTAAAGTATGCAAACCAACAGCAGCACCACTTATCTCAGTGTAACACAGGGCAGCCTCCCAGCAACACCATCCTCCTTGTCTGCACCAGAAGAATTACTACAAACAGAGCCACGACACTATCTTAGCACTCGTAGAATGACCTAAGCGGAATCTCTCGCGCACGGGGCCTACAGTGAACTTTATACTGCACAAACAAGTGGGGGTTTCTCGATGTACCCTCAATTCCACCTTGATCCAACCGGTATTTTATAGACGCTCCGACATATATGTTATATTTATTCAGTCACAAAACATTTAAAAAATTACTTGTGTGAATAAAGATTAAAATCATTTGTATTCAATGGCGTCGGTTCTTGTATTCTCTTGCTCGCGCATAACTATTCCTGTGCCTATGGTTTGACCATACATGTTATTATCGAATCCTTATTCCCATTGAGTGTTTTTTTTTATTATAAATAAAAATTATTTATATTTATATGGTTATTTTACAGCAACTACTTCACTTACACAATACGTGAGAAACGAAGAGTTGAATTCTAAGGCACACGAATTTATAAAAATATATATAATATAATAAAATAAGAAACATTTAATTTATTTGCCCCGTTAAATTTTTTATAGTTTTCGTTAGAGTTAATAAGTGTAGCAAATATATTTAATAATGATATAAATTTATTTTTATGTTAACTAAATGTGAACTAAGTACATGCCGTTGGATTTCAAAGTTAAGTAACAGTTGTAAATAAAAAAATATATATATAACACTATACAAAAACATGTACTAGATTATATTATATATTGTTACAATTATTGTTTAAACAATTAAATGCTTAATATAGCAGAACTTAAAATAAACATGAACACTATAGTACCTATTTATCAGTGCCAAAATAAAAAGACGCAAATTTAGCTAGTCAAACAAAGAAGTGTTGTTATAGCAGTATAAAAATAATAATTATTTATCATTTACATTTTTATTATTACCAGACTTAGAAAATCATACCAGGTTGGCATAGCAGTTTATAATTATGTTGCAAATAACTTAAATTTTGTTGAGGACATATATATACATAAGTATTTTAAAAGTTCACTGTACTGAATGTTCATTTTAAACTCTTTTACATGTAAATAAGTGATTACTTAGTTTTTAAATTGATAGTGAATATATTTAAGCTGGTAAAATTAGTTTGGCAATGGCTTTTGCGAAAAGTTTTAAGTTGATTTCCTATTTATTGTCTTGAACGTTTTTTATGATCGAAATCTTGGAGACCGGGTAAATTTAAATTTATATAATATATTTTAATAGAAATCTTGCACTCATACGCACATATTATTTTCATAGATCGTATGTAAAAAAAAATTGGTTCACTGTTCAAAACAGGATCAAACTTTATTTGTATAAAGCGCCAAAGACAAACTCCCCTTAGCACATATCTTATCTGTTTATTTTTATACTTAAACTACAAAAGTTCACGGTATGCCCCTCCGCCCCACAAAGCACTCAACTAGGGCGGAGGGTGGAAGCCATGCGTGATTCCCTGTGCACTTAACGTGCAAAGTTAGCAACAAGCTGGCTAGGCTGTGTGTATACTATGTACCAGCAATATTGAGAAATGTATGTTTAACTTGCCTCAAAATATATTATTATAGTAAAATTTTAAATTACTTTTTTTTAGATCGAATGTACAAAAAATTATTTTAAAATAGATATTAGATGACTTACACTATTTTATAATTTTTGTGACTTTGTCAAATTTAATTTCAAAAATCATACCTATTGTGATTAGAATGTGCAATTTTTTTTATCGTAATAAAAAAAAACTTAAATTCGACTTAATTAGAAATTAATTATGCATGTAAGTTTTATTCAACTAGATGATTTAATCTTACTGAAATTTAGATAAAAATATATCTTTACTAAAAATCTTAGTAGTCTATATTCTGTATAGTGGTAGACAGGGTTCACTAACTAACGACCTTCAAATTTATCTTCTAATATTTTCTAGGAAATTTATACACAAATTTTAATCCGTTATTTGATACTTTTGAACATCTGACATTGATCTAACTTTTAAAACTTGTTAATTAAACTAATAATATATAGATATTTTATCTTATAAATTTATGTAAATCAAAATCAAATATTTTCATAATGTAGGTTAAATTAAATGTGTGATTTTTTGTGCATGTGTGTATAAACTGTAGTTAGACATGTGTTATTTTACACTTAATTTAAAAAGCCTTTAGCATTTCAGGTATTCACTGCTTTCGAAACATTTTTTGATTTACAAATAAAATAATATATCAAATTTCCATTTTAAAAACTAGAAATGGCAAATAATATACTACCCTTTATTAAATAAAATTTTCTTTAAAACAAATAATTTGAGCATTCGTTTAATTGAATTATTATGCTTGCGGATATAACACCTACCTTCGGTCCATTTTTGTGTTGCTTTAATATTTAATTACGAAAATTCGTTAAAAATTCACTTTTTTTTTTAAATCAGTACCAATAGAAAAAGAAATACGCAATTTTTCATCAACATTTTCAGTCATATTAATACGAGCTAAAAAATTGCTTAGTATTCTATATATAAACATTTACACAAGGTTTGAGTCAATTGAGAATATTATGTTTTGCGAAATATTTAAAGCATTAGTTATCATTCGGAAGCGTCTGCAAAAACATCACAATTTTATTTATTTAGTAATTCTAATTATTACTAATTCTCCGTGCCTTATTTTGCACTTTTACTCTGTAGCCTATGGTTGCAGCACAATTGGATCGACTCGACCGATCCGGCGAACACCTTCTTTACAAAATCAAACGCAATATATTTCGTTTTGTTGATGAATACCATATGGATATCGGACAATTTAATTTAAAATTAAATCATGCCTATGTACTGCTGTGAAAACTTTTATAATATTTTCTGTACTTAAATCCCAGGATTAATAAAAATGCTATTCGAACATAAATACTTAAAAAGATTTTAGATAATTTAGGTATTTTTACGAATAAGACATTATATTTTTCAGCTGAGGATAAGTAATGTTTTATGTAGAGATATGATGCGTACTATCAAATGTCACCCAAATCACTCTATTATATACTCGTATAAGCTATAAATACCGACAGTTATCTTAAACCAAACTTAATATTATGTATTGTAACTTAATTTAAAGTATAAAAAGTGTTCTCATGTGATACTTAATGTTCCGTTAATTGCTCATTAAATTAATATATACCATGTTACATTATTTTTGTGGATATTGTGCTGTGTGATTATAGTTGTCGAAGTGGTAAGGGATCAAGACTATAAAAAATAAACAAAATGAATACAGCCAAAATTGTTTTATTTCTTTCGTTACTTCCAAATTTATTTTATATACTTTACTATCCAAATACAAAATATATCTTACTTTTATGCAGTAAACATAAGTAACATCAAAATACATCGTAACACATGACATAAAACGTAATACAACTAGGAGCTATTTTTACTTTAATAAAATATATTTGATGTTATAACAACGCTTGTAACAGCAAATATATTTTATACGTGGAAGAGCCATGCTGCAGCTATAACTATATTAGGTACTCGTATAGTTGTTGCACGAATGGGTCTGCTCCACCGGGGAAGGACCACGCTCTCACAGAATACCAGTGTAAAATAGGAGCTTAACGCTGCTGTGTTTCCTATGGTGAGTGTAGAGAACCGGAGACCCTTTTTACTGGAAACGAGGCATTCAATCTTAGTCCTCATGGGTGAGACAACGCATCTGCATTTTGAATCGAAATCGAGGATAGATGTCTATGAGCCACAGCAACCGCTTACCATCAGGTGGACTGTGTGCTCGTTTGTCACCCTTATCTAAAAATAATAGAGCTGCAGCTTGGCTCTATATCATGGTCGCAGCGCGAATAGGTCGGCTCGACCGTGAAAGGATCACAATCTCACAGAATACCAGTGTAAAGTAGTAGCTTAATGTTACTGTTTCATATGACGATTGTAGAGTACTGGGAAACCCTTTATTATATTTATATTATTTAAATACTGAAAACGAGGTATTCCATCTTTTTCCTCTGACAACGTATCTGCATATTTAATTCTTAATCGAGGAAAGAAGTAGCTGTCTATGGGCCAAGGCATTCACTTGCCATCAGGTGGACAGTGTGTCACCCATATTCTATAAAAATATATGCGAAGTACAATTACTTTTTGTTTCCTTAATAGCAATATCTTTAAGGCGAGTAGTGTAATATATTAGTGTCCAGTCGTTAGTAGTATGTGAGCTTATTGTACCATCTTCCAAAACGCTCTCTTCTAATGCAGTATTTACGAAATTCGTCAAAAGATAATAAAAGTACAGGGAATGGAATCGCTAAAAACCACCTGTAAAGTAAAAATGTGAATAATTAATACTGAAGTATAAAAATTAAATACTCGATCAGGACAAGATATTGCCCGCAGTGAGCAACAATGACGAGTGAGATCGCGCCAATATTTTTTTTTCAGAGCGATAATATCTTTGATTAGGGGTAATATACAGACGCGGGACAAGATGGAGCTACCATAGCCGATTCATTAACCCTTTCGATGCTAAAGTTATCTAATAGGGAGCATACTTTTTAATGTCCCTAGATAAAAATAAATTCAATTATGTAGTAGCTATTGTCTAATTAAACTGTAGATCAGTTAGTGCCGTAGACCGTACCAGTAAATTGTCATTTGTAATAGACATTGACCGATATAGCTCGTACCATAAGATTTAGACTATCAACTTTTTTATGTACATGGATTATTTGGGACTTTTCTGTCAGTTACTGCTTAGAACCAAAGCAATATCTGTCAAAAAAGCTTAAAAAAAGCCAAAAATATTCTTAATCTGGTAGTATGATATCTATTTTATTGCCAGGGCTCAAATAAAAACACGATAAAAAAAAAAACAAGATATCGGTTACATATCGTACACATATCATCCCGACAGAGGGTAACTGAAACAAGAGATGGGCAGCACCATCTTCCTGATTGTTATCAATATATTTAAAAAAAACTATGGTTGCGAACCCGCCTGCTAAGCGTGGCAACTATGGCAATATCCCCCCCCCCCATGAGGCGATCTATGGGGGAGGCCTATGATCAGCAGTGGCCTTTTATAGGCTGTAATGGATAGATGGAGATGTTTAACCGTCATCTATGGGAGATTTTCTTTTTCCACTAACTGACTGCGTGTAATGGGGTGATAGTTGATCTAATGCTGCAATCATACATCATGCTAATAATTTGTACTCGTATACTAGAATTTATCGTGATTTTTGAACTCACCATTGAAAACGCAACGGGTACGTGCAAAAAAAGTCGTTAAGCACTGGAACATAGCAAAGAACACAAGCCAGTGCTAGTTCGAATACTAGTCCATAATTCAACACTTTATTTTTCATACCTGAAAGGAAAAATTGTCAGTGATTGTGCTCAAGACCCAAAACAAAATACGATTGAGTGCTCGGTTAGCTATATGTAAGCATCTAGCTTAGGGTCTTGTTTAATGATTCGCGACATAGTGATTCCAGCAATTCGGGGCTTAGCAGGAATCTTTATTGCACGCTATATTTAATATTACCTGTTTTATTATAATTTAGTTGAATTCTGGACCCTGGGTTGCCCCGATCCTCTATGGTATTTGACGGTGAAATTGTTGGTATACCTGGGTATAGTATGGTACAAAAATAAATGACTGACGCCTAGCTTTTGAATCGTCTTAAAAATAACTGACGAGTGACGACTCCATACCCACTTCGTGTGAATAAATGCTGTACCCAAGCACTATTAAAGGTCTCCGAAACGCAGCCAGTGAAGGGTGTCTTATAATGATAATGATGTATTATTATGATAACTAATGATGATTAGTGAAATAAGGTTTTACCAACGTCTAGTATCGAATTATATCTAGTTTTGCATATAACACCATTCATCATTTGAGTGACGACAACCGCAACAAAGTACGTCGCCTGACACGCGCGCTCCAACTCTTTACGCTCCGCGTAAGTCCACTCCTGTCCTAAAGAGTCCCGTAAGTCGCTTACAGCTTCATTATCCCAACGTTGTCTGATTCCTTAAATATCAATATGTTTAGTTACTTGTATAATCATATGCAAGTATAATATTGTATATGATTATACAAGTTGCCTTTTAAAAATAATCAAATGCAATTTTTTCACTTAAAAACTTCAATATCCGCGTTGAGCGATTTTTGTTAGGGGAAAAACTTATAGGTTCGCGTTACCGATGACCTTGACATGCTCGTGACGACGTGTGACGTCACGAGCATATCTCCTACGCGTCGCTAGTCTGGCTTAAGCCAGAATAGCGACGGGTATTAGCGGACTATGTACATTTATACGCATATATAATTGACTTTTCACTTCTCTCGGCAGTCCTTATGGCTGTCTCTGTTTTTTTTTTTTAATTTAATTTTTTTAATTTCTAATCTCACATACATACCCTGATTTTTCTGCATCTGTACACCCTGTTGCCAGATGGACAAGGTCTGGCTAACGACTGGTGGCCAAAAATCCTTCCTGTCGCGTATCGTCACTAGTCGGTACGTACAGTATAGACCAACACTTTAGAGGCTTCGCGATGACACATTATGAAAATTATGCTGGCGATTGATGCATGTAACCTAAGCGTGCTGCGAGCTCGACCAACTTGCCCTAACCCTATGATTCAATACGAGGGAAAAAAAGTGGTCGAGAGGGACGAAGGAAACCCGCACACTAATGGAAACTACCGGTTCACTTTTTCACTTTAATTTCTTCCAGTTGGCTATACTTTAGTGGCTCTCTTCAGAATTCATGCCAACACAAAATTTCAAAATAAGCGTATCTTAAAGAGAACGCTGGCCAATGGAAAAGGTTAAATTTATTAATTTGTGAGGGTGATATCGTAAAAGTCTAGTGCTGGAAGTACACGTATACACCTAAAACCATGTTGATGGATGCAAATGATTTTAAATGGATAGGTGTGCGTGAGTGACTGAATTATAATAATTATTTAATTTACAGCTAAACAAAATTACAAGTTACAGCCTATATACGTCTCACTGCTGGGCACAGCCAGCACAGGCCTCCTCTCATATGTGAGAGGGTTTTGGAGCAAGGAAGTGTTCGTCGTGCTGCCCCAATACGTGTTGGCGACCTTCACATGTCTTCGAAATATTTTTTTCTTATATCTCAGACATGCAAGTTTCCTCACGATGGTTTCCTTCGCCGCCATGCTCGTGGTAAATCATGGTAATCACTTAAAATTGCAATTAACAATTTCATTTGTGGTACTGTGAATTTTACAGTGAGCACTACCCATCTGAGCTATCACGGCTCCAATCAAATCAATCAATCTTTGATTTGGTTTTATAAAAGGTACCTAATTGAAATAAAATTGTAAGATATTTTCTATACCGAATAGATCTGCGGGATAAAATCCATGTTCCGCCATTACAGTGAAATAAGCGAACATTCCAGAAGCGAATTCGATGAGACCTAGGTGGCCGTACACGAGTATCATCATGCGTGAGGAGACAAGGGGGTCCGAGTGCCGTGGAGGGCGCTTCATTACATCGGATTCTGCTTGTTCATATGACAAAGATACGGCTGGCCACATATCAGTACCAAGGTCCACGCATAATATCGTCATTACTCCTAAAAAATTGTTAATTCATATAACAGATGAACACCAATTAGCTTTTGGTCTCATTTATTTAATGTCAAAATATTTTATTTAAAACAGTTTTGAATTTAAATTGAATTGTTCAAAAAGAGTTCAAAAAAGGAGACCTCTACAGACTTTTTAATTTACCACCCATTCGTGCTATAACCATAATGTAGCTGTAGCATGGCTCTACCACGTAAATTAATTTTAGCTTAAATTATTTTTAGATTAGAGACGGTAAGAAACTGTGAGGGTATTTTTTTTAGTGTTAGATACCACTCCGTTATTTGCATTATTACAATAATACCGCCGTAGTTAGAGGAGTTTAATTCTTAATTTTTTAATAACTAAAAAATAATTTAGACCATTTTATGGTACCACATGCATCCATTATCGTTATAGAACACATCACAACAGGTGTCCTGCTACCGCTTTCTACCGGATCGTTGCGGGGTTTACTGTAATTTTGTCTTTGATACCATAGTAAGTAAAGAATATAACGTACAGGATACACCATTAGAGAGTCGGGGGCAATTGCAAAAATCAGACCAGAAAATAATTAATTCGCGTATTTGAACAAATGTTGGCTTCAGTTTGGAGCTTATAATTTGCGAAGTAAAAGCTAGAATCAAGTACTTAAGGTGCCTTTTTTAAAATATCTTATATCATTAGGAAAACATTCATTGTGTTGGATTCCAAAATTATATTGAATTTTACTAACCTAATGGCAACGGTAAGGAAAACAATATAAACATAAAAACGGGTAGAATTTCCGGCACGTTTGATATTAATATGTAGCACACGGATTTCTTAAGGTTGTCAAATATTTTGCGACCCTCTTCAATCCCCATTACTATAGTGGCAAAATTGTCATCCATTAAAATAATATCCGCTGTTTGTTTTGATACCTGAAAAATAATTACAAATACTTTGCTACAATATTTTTTGAACGACCATAAAGAGAAAAGATTAGAATGGAATATACTCGTAAAATCCTTATTGTGACACCGATACATATGAGATAAAAACGAAAATATATAGGGATAGCAGTATATGGACCCTCAACTCTTTTAATTTGTTATAATTTATTTATTATTGTTGCATGTAAACATAAAGTATCAATTGTAAAACTGCATGAAAATGAGAAATAATAAAAGGCTTATTTATTTTATTTATTTATATGGGCCCTCTTACAATAAAACGATTTCATTCGGACAATATTTGGATGGGCAGATTGGAACTAAAGCTCTAGGAGCGGAAATGAAAAATCAGATTTTTTTGTTATAGAGATATCCTTTAGCTTAATAAGTTAATCGACTACATACCGACGCCTAGATGATAAACAGTTTCAGGTTTATTAAATATATATATTATATATAACACTACTCCAATACGTGTTGTCAGACTTCAGGCGTCTTCGTAATATTTTTATTCTTTAGACATTTATTTCTTTATTCAAAGTGGAACAGCTTACAGCTACATTATATATATTACATACAGATAGTACAGTAACATTAATATACGCAATAATGCAGCCCACAGTGCTGTTCACAGATTACCTCTTGAGATAGATGATTAAGACGCTAGGAGACCTGCAGCTGTACAGATCGTATTATATAAGTGTCAAAGTATGGTCAGCAATGATATTATAATGTGACTGAGGTGACAAATTATTATTTGAAAAGTGTCTTGTATAAAAGACCACGAAACCTTTCCGCTGAGCATGTGAAAATATCTATATGCTCGAAGGTCTCATTATATGTGGCAACCATACGTCGAATCGGTGAACGTATACCGGTATTGGATCGACAGGCACTTACGGCAAAAAGTTAAAACGTAATACATGCAGGTTTCCTCACGATTTTTCCTTTACCGCCACGTTTAAATTTCAACAATTTCATTGGTGCTGGTGAAAATCAAACCTGCGTTGCTCTGAATAGTTAAAACTTGTAACAAAATGTAAAAATAAAATTTCCTAAAAAGGAGTTATTTATTTGCTACTCTTAGGGGTGAATTTTTTTCTACAAATTTATATGGGACCACCCTTGACGTATAACCCATTTAATTAAAAAATAATCATCAAAACTGGTTGACAATCATTCGAAGATATCGCGTAATATACATACAAAAAAACCTTCTCCTTTTTGAAGTCGGTTAAAAAATTAACCATGGCTATCCTCAACATAAAAACATTAATTTATGCTCCGATCTACGCAGAAAGAACTTATAATATATTGAAATGTTGCAGTGGGTAAGCATTTAATTTTATTAACAAACCCTGTCGTGACGGTTCCAGAATATCCACTACCCCGTAATATTGTCCCGTGAGCGTCGTAAGAGGCTCAGTAAGAAACTGAAACAGTACATCTCGTACAGCAGCACCTTTCTGATGACAAATCTAAATGATAAAAAACTGCGGTTGCCTCATAGTTAACTATGGGGAAGGCCTACGTCAGCAGTGGACTTTTATGTGTTGGATTGGAATGTATGGATGAAACTATAGAATTTCAAGCAGATGGTAGCATCCAGATATCTCCTGTATTGAAATTAGGATGCTTTTTGATTTCAATAGCCTCGAAAATCATCCTTGGTGGGAATCATTGCAGTCTATCAAATCTAATGTAATGGTGAAAAAGATCCTGTACCTTTACCCAGACTGCAAACTTCCCGAAGTGTCAAAATCAGTAAAAACTAGTTTCATTTAATGTGTATCAAGTAAAACCCTATGTATCTACAATGTACACACATAAGTGCAATTAAGTACAAAAAAAGAATAAAAAATCCAAAAGTGCATCCCGCGAACGCATAAGCAATGCTTTGAATAATCAATTAACTTTTATTAATTACAGAAACAAGTATTTTGTTTAAAGCTACAAAAAATTGTTTCTCTTTAATTACACGAAATTTTTTTTTGACTGCCTGATATCGGTGATTCGTATTTTGTTACAGAAAAAAAATTGTCAAATAATTAATTTAAAAAATTTATGATCGGGACGGTTTACAATAGTGATGTTGAAAAGACCTCCTAAGGATAAAAATCTAAATCTAATTTTCAAAAAATCGAAGTGAAAAGTTCAGTTTTTCGAAAGATATCTCGTTTACATCCATACCGACCAACTGACGTCCAAGTGAAATTATTTTCAACTAACTTTTTTTAATAATAATCGAAATAAATAATCTTATAACTACGTCAGAAGTATTAATTGAAATCTCCTCTTGCTATTGGTGTAGGTACTTTTTTATTACATAAGTGCAATATCTATAAAGCTGGTGGAAGTGATTTAATTTGAGTGAATCGCGATTTGTTGATTTGGTGACAATAGAGAAAAACATACCTGTGAACCAGTTATACCCATAGAAATACCAATATCAGCTCGTCTCAGCGCTGGCGCATCATTTACTCCGTCACCAGTGACTGCCACTACACTGCCGTGTCGCTGGCACGCCTCCACTATTTGTAACTTTTGTGTTGGAGACGTCCGCGCAAATACTAAAGTATACAAAAAAAAATTTTGAAATTTGTCTACTCTATTTTACTTTTCAGCCCGTAACCAGTCCATTGTTGGACAAGGAAGGTCTCTTCCATAATCGCCATGCTTGGTAGGCAGATTTCCGACTGGGGACATTACACTCGAAGTTGTTAACTGGCATGTTTATTTAAAATAAATTTTACGACTATACTTAGTCGGGTCATAAGTTCTGTCAAAACCTTATTATTTAAAATCTTTGAATACTGGCTAGATGAACTTCGCCAATTTTAATAATATAAAGTTAGCGCTTGCCGAAAATAAGAAAGACGTTAATTTTCATTCATTTTCAAATATGGAGTGGTCGAAGAAAGAAGAAAGAGTAGCGATTATCGCGTGGCACGGCTGTGGTTACGCGCCAAAAGAGATTTTCAATATTCTACAAAAATTTAAAATAACCCTAAGATTTGTTTATCGCACTATCAAACGATTCACTAAAGATTCAAGCTTCGAAGATCGTAAGAGGACCGGCCGACCTCGTACAGTTAGGACACCCGCGATCATCAAAGCAGTGAAGGAGCGAATCGTTCGTAAACAAAAAATCTTATCTCTTCAGATGGGCCTAAGCAGAACCACGGTCAAAAGAGTGATCAATGAAGACCTAGGACTACAAGCTTATCGTAAGAAGACCAGACATTATTTTAACGAGCGTTTGAAGAAAATTAGACGGTAAATTTATTGCTAAAATTAAAAAAAAAATTCCGCGAAAAAGAAGCCAGCACGCGTATTGCGAGGGTTCAACGAGGACATTATCCTTCATCACTCATGGTTTAGCTTGGAGTCTCATATTCAGGCTTAACTGAGGTGTTTTTCTGTGAAAAAGATGTAAAAACCAGTACCGAGGTGTACCAAAAAGAGGTTCCACTATGTTTCTTAGGACGGTATCCTAAGAAACATAGTGGAACCTCTTTCTCAAAAAATGTTCAAAAACAGACATTGGATATTCCAACAGGTGTCTGCACCAGCTCATAGGGCACGAAGCACGCAAAACTGGTTGACCGGCCGTGGAATTCACTTTATCGGACATGAAGACTGGCCCTCTTCTAGTCCAGATTTAAACCCACTGGATTATAAAGATATGGCAACATTTAGAGGAGAAAGTCTGCGCTAAACCTCATCAGAATTTGGAATCTCTCCGAGCATCTTTGACTAAAGCAGCGGCAGAAATAGATAATATGAATGTGGTGCGTGCTGCGATTGATGATTGGCCGCGTCGATTAATTTAAATATTATTCAAAATAGGTGAGGGCATTTTGAATAATGTAAATAAAATTGTATTCTAAATTAAATTACCTTTCATTTAATATATAATTTCTATATAATTATCAAAAAGTGTATCATTCATTTTATAAAAAGTTTTTGACATAACTTATGACCTACCTAACTATAAGTCCAACTTCAACCAAGAGGTCAATCTACGTATAAGCTTGGCTGGGCAGCGTTCACTAGAGTGTACAAACATTACGTGTTGCCAGTGATGACATATGGATGTGAGACGTGAACAGCTATCCGTATGAAGCGGGAAAGATCGCGCAGCGCGCTACGGAGAGGGCTATGTTCGGAGTTCCTCTGCATAATAGACTTCATAATAAGGATATCCATAGTAGAACCAGAGTCACCTATATAACCCAATTGATCAGTAAGCTGAAGTAGCAGCGCGTGGTTAGGACGAAATCACGACTAACATACCCTAAGTATTACACAGCTGCCTTTCGTGGCTGTTTCCGATGTGCTGGCACGAATCGCTGGTATGATATACCACCACCGATCACAAATTGTAAATCAGTTGCCACTTTCATAACTTTCTTAAAAAGTTTCCGATATCAGTGCAAAAATCCAGCAAATTGGCATAAACGGTATGGTTCATACAACTCGATGCAAGCACCGTACGTGCATGCACGAACGCATGCACGCTCGCACGCATATATTTTTTATTTTATTTTCTGCTACATAACAGTGACACTGTTATGTAGCACTAGTATATAGAATTTTATTACGTTAGGTTTGTTTATTTCCTTCTTATTTTATATCTATATGTTTTTTTTTTGTTGGCATTTGTCACTTGTCTCACACTCCCGGCTCCACTGATAATTAGCGTTACGAACTGAAATCTTAAAGCTGAGTGGAGACCATTTTAGTGCATATTCAGTTTTTTTTTATATTTTGTTAAAATCCAAAGTATTTCTTTCTCTGTCTTACCTGATTTTTTTTGTAATGAATGTGCCATATAAAGGTATTTCTTTCTTTCTAAACAATCCATTCATGTAGCTCGAATTACCGACAACTGATGAGGATGAAAGGTTTTCGAGTAACTCGTACAAACGCATTATAGGGCGACTCTCCACTAGACGGAATGACGACTTGATAAAATATATAGAAAGTCTATGGATTCAGGTGGCTCAGCGCCATGTTTTATGGGCAGGTCTATGTTCAGCAGTGTACTTGTGAAGGGGTATAATGATCACAATCATAATACGAGTAGTATGGAATTTTTAAATACTTACGAGGACTTTTACAAATTCCTAGCGTAGGGCTAACTTTAAAAAAAATGATATATTGATATTATACTTGCAATAAAATCGCACCTATTTCATAATGCTTCTCAAGAGTTAAATAAAGAAGGTCAGGATTCATATTTCTTAAATCGTTGCCTGTAACCACGTGGCAGGTGGCAGCCGCAGCTATGCCCACCTCCACCGCTATGGCCTTCGCTGTTGCCGGATGGTCGCCGGTAACCATCATCACGCGAACACCTGCAGCACGTACACGCTCTATTGCGTTTTTAACCTGTATCCCGAATTTCTTTATTAATATTAAAATATCAAAAGCTTGCTTTCATTATATAATATATGAAGTAATCAAATTATGTTTACATTTTAGAATCGATTTAAGGCAATAACATTTTAGTTGTAAAAGTATTACAATAAGTTTATACGTGGTAGAGCCACGATGCAGCTGATATATTATGGTTGTAACACGAGTGGTTCGGCTCGACCGGGGTAGGACCACGCTCTCGCCGAATACCAGCATAAAATAGCACCTTAATGATGCTGTGTTTTTCTTATGGTGAGTGTAGAGAACCGGAGACCCTTTTTACTAGAAAAGAGGCGTCCCATTTTAATCCGCAGGAGTGACAATGTATTTGCATTTTGATTCTTAATCGAAGACAGATGGCTATGGGTCACAGCATCCGCTTATTATCAGGTGGAATGTGTGCTCGTTTGTCGCCCTATCCCTATAAAAAAGTAAAATTATGTACATTTCTGAAAGGATTTTAGAGCAAGGAAGTGTTCAGCGCACCGCCTCCATGGGTGTTGGCGGACTTTATATGCCTTCGACAATATTTTTCCAAATATTTATTAATTTATAAATAATTTTAATCCCAATAAATGCCTCACAACACATCATAATACATATAATAAATAGACCGGTATTAGTTTGGTACGTATTTAAAATATAACAAAAATAAAAATGTATTAGTAATGAGTGTTGAAAGTGTAGTGCAATACGCTGTTTTATTGCTGACAAGCGATTCGTTCCGACTTCGCTTGGATAGGATTTAGTAATGTGGCGTCATTTAAATTTAAACTTCAATTTATTCAGATAAAATATAGTCTAGATCTGCGGTCTCCAAACTACGATCCGCGGGCCAAATCCGGCCCGCCAGTACCATCAACCCAGCAACAGCTTAAGACTAGTGTCATCAATCTGGCCCGCGACAGCCAATGTCTTATTGTTGTTACTATTGCTTTGATAAGTTGAAGAAGAAAACACAAAAGGATAATTACTCGGTTTTATTTACTTACAAGGTAAAACTTAACGACAGAAATGATGACGCAGAAAATTTAACTTAAGTATTTAAGCTTAAGCATATTAATAACTAACAATTAATTGAACACAATCCCACTAATCACAGTAAAACAAAAAACACTAATGAGATTTATGTATTTGTGATTTTCCACATACAATAGTTGGTAGTTGTAGATAAATTTTACTTGTACTATTTATTAAAAGAGATTTAAGATGCTCATCGATTAATTTAGATCTGTAAACATTATTTGTGTACTTCATCTTGGAAAACGTATTCTCACACATTTAAGTAGTACCAAAAACAGAAACAGCCCACGAGCAAATTTATGCAAATTATGAAATTGTACCAGTGGAAGACTCAACAAAGATGAATTTTGATATCTGTTCTTAATCATATTACTGCACTGTAAATCAATAATTTCCATTTGGACTTCCGGAGCCAGGGTTTCAATGTCAGAATCAAAAGGATTTTGAAAGAGCTTAATTTCATTCGCAATGGCATCAAAGTCTGAGAAACGAGTATCAAAATTTATCTTTAAAACACTCAAAGTTTCGATTGCAAAATCGACGGGGAATTCAGTCTCTGTAGTGTGGCTGAATATTTAACATGTTTTAAGATGTGTGATACGTTTTTTACGTAATTGTGATTGAAATATTATTATTTTCTGCCCGATTACCGATACCGAGATACCGATTTTCTATTGGTATATAAATCAGAGAGAAACTGATTTTCTCCTTACAATCTCAAATTCAATCCGTTCATATGATTTGTCAAATCAACATCTACTATTCACTATTTTCTAAATCGGCAAAAGGGTGATGCTTCTCTTTCAAAAAAAAAAATCGACCTCTGCTCGAAGTTTAAAAACTTTTCCGCAACTAAGCCAGCGTACGGCAGTATGATATGGTTAGTAATTTTTTCCAATCTCTTCAATAAACTCGCGAAGTTGTCGGTTATTTAACCCAGTGGATCTGATGAAGTCAACAAATAATATAACTGGTCTTAGAATTCAGACACATCCAAACATTGTCCATTTTTGTCAGACAGTTGAGATGATATATTTTCTGCGGTGTCTTGCACCCTCCGAGCCGCGGTGTTTGCTGACAAACTGACACTTTTAAATAAATTTACCTTTTCGGAGCATATTTCTTCGGCTACTGCAATCAAGCATTCTTTTATCATTTCTCCATCGGTGAATGGTTTTCCACTTTTTTGATTTCAAGAGCCACACGAAAGCTAGTGCGAGTTGCAGACTCTTGTTCAGTATTCGCTTTGGTAAACAAATATTGCTGCGATTTCAGTCCGCGCTCCAAAACTTCAAATTTTTCCGTCCGCAAACTTCCTGTATATTTGGAGTAATTTTGAAGATGTTGCGCTATGAATCGCAACATGTCGTTTAATATTATATTCTTTGAGAACAGCTATGGTTTTATTACAAATTAAACATTGCGCCTTATTACTGGACTCAACACAAACTACTGAAAGTTCTATTTATCTTGGAACGTTCTGTATTCACTGTCTATTTTTCGCTTCTTTTTCATACTAATAAATCACACATAAAAACAATAAATCAATTCAAAATACTGTTATACACGGGTGTTACTTTATCTCACAATAGACAGTTTCGCTTCTGTCGCCTTTCGTAGGCAAACTGACTCGCGGTTACGCCGCGAGCCTTTTTATACGCAATTACTGCCATCTCGAAATGATCGGAATACACTAGCCAGATACAGAACTTTCTCGAACCAACGCGGAAGTACCGAAATATTTAATTACAACTAATACCGTCGAAGAACCGACAACCGATGGGGAAAAAAGGTTCTCGAGTAGCAGCCTCGTACCGGAAGGTGGAGTGTTGGGCGTCCCCCCACTAGATGGAGTGACGACCTGGTAAGATATGCAGGAAGTCGATGGATGCAGGTGGCTCAGGACCGTGCTTTGTGGCATTCCTTGGGGGAGGCCTATATTCAGCAGTGGACTTGTGAAGGGCTGTAATGATGATAATGATGAATACCACCTGTTAGTGGGTAGCTGAAATAGATACATAGCGCAACACATAGTATAACTACTCGGAACATACTGAAACAATCATTATGGCCCTAAGACTTCAAAATTCGAAGCCCCTGGTCTAGATCATTTCCGGCATTACTCTCTATTTGTTCGTAAAGTTTCATCACAATCGGCTCAGCATTTCTGAATATTAACTAGGACAGACCGATAGACATAAACGATGTCTTAAAAGTATGGAAATAACCCCGTAAAGTAGAAGCATTTCAATATTACAGACACACACTTAAATTTTTTATATAATACGTAGTTCAACATCCGTTCTCACACTATTTTTTAATAACCTCGTAATATATTTCTATTAATAGGTTATTTTATATATTTACCTCCTCTCTTGGTGGATCTTTCAATCCAATAATGCCGATTAACCGTAAACCCTCTAATGGAAAATTTATTTCTTCAGTATCAAAATCGTAGTCCATTGGATATTCATTTGGATCCAAAGTTAAGTCAGCAAAGGCTAGAACTCTTTCACCTGAAAGTTCAGTTTCCATTTATAATTATATTAGCTTAATGAAAACTTTAACATGATGTCAGTTATTATTACATATTTACCGGCGTTTGCGAGATCTTCAACGGCTTTATCTGCAGCTTCCTTGACTTCTTTAGTAATCTTTTTATCTTTATCTCCCAAAGCAACTGACGTACAACGTAGTAAAATGAATTCAGGTGCACCCTTCATCACGACCAGATATCTTGACAATTTTTTATCTAAATGCACGCTGGCCTAAAATTGAAGTTGTATTTATGCTTCGCATAAATATTGTGAATTCCTTACTTAAACCAACTAAATAATATACCGATTAATGCTGCTATTATTATGTGACAATATAGTAGTATATTATCACCATCGATTTTATGTCATACGTGTCTTATAAAATTAAGAAGTTTTGTTGGTGGGTTAAAGAATCCTATACAATATTTGTAAACCCCTGTAGAAGTTATTCGAATACCATAAAAGACCGAATCAGTAGCAACAAGGTTGGAATGTACGGTGGATGACGGAGATGCTCCTGTAATTTTGAGCCAAGTCGTTCTGAAATTAAAATGGTGGATTTGTCCATGCTCTATAGAAATTCTTGACTGTATAACTAAGCAGAAATTGTTATACTAGATCTTTAAGAAGCTGTAACCACCGAATATCGATATTTGTAAATTTCTTTTTTACTTTGTATACTATACTCTTAATGTTAAATTTAAAGTTACCAAGTAACCTGGAATTGGCCTAGCTTTTTCACGAGTAAGTCAGTGAGTGATAATAATGGTACTATTCAGACCTGTAGGTATACAGCATCTACTTGTGAACAATTAAGTGAACTACAGTCGTTTGTCACACTTACTTGCAATTAAAAGTTGCATGTATTTTTAAAGGGCTTACAAGCCCCCGCAATGGATTTAAACATGCTGTATATTTAGCATTATAATATAATTATCATACTTAAATTCTACTGCAGTTACGCACGTTTGAATTCAAAGTTATATATAATCCTACTTTTTAACACATACTTGATATTTATTAATAGAGTTGAATGGGATTTCTGCAATCTTCGGAAAGTTGCTCCTCACTGTCACTGGGTCATCATAAGTACAGAGAAAATGTAGGATTGCCGTTTCTGACGCATCACCGTGTATATCGCCATTGGGTGCAATTGTTGCGGTGCTACATAAAGCTCCACATATTTTTAAGGCTGCTATAGCTGAAAATTTATATTACGTCACGTTATTGTTAATGTGTGTTTGTTTGTAAAAAAATGTAAGCAATATCACAAGCTCAAGGTAACAACTACAAAAACGTCTAAAGAGTTATATTAAAAAAAAACCCCTGTTTAACACTGAACATTGCAATGGAGCAGCCCAGTGACCGCGTCACTAAATTTCACGCACAATAATAGTTGTTGCTGAGTAATCTTAGCATATGATAGTGATTGACGATGCATCTGCATTTTGATTCTTTATTGAGGATAAATGTAGATGTCTATGGGTCACAGCAACCACTTACCATCAGGTGGATTGTGTGCTCGTTTGTCACCCTATCCTGTAAAAAATATGATGTAAATTTTTGTTTTTATTTAAGTAAACGAAATTGTATAAACTGGAACGTATTGTTGTGAATAAAATCCTCTTTTAACGCTGGACGACTTCATTACTATCGCCGAAACTCCTGGTAAGGTCTCTCTCTCACTACGACCAAGACACCTTTAGCCGTCAGACCCCTTGATCAGTCTTGTGAGTCTGCTTGACTGGCAGCGAGAGAACACCCTGTGTCTGTTCGTCTGTAACATTGGGTCTCATGGTGCAGACATCCCGTATTTATCTTATTTATGTATATATATTTATATGGTAGGGCTAGGGTATTAGGGACTGCTAGGTATAGGGAACTTAATTAGGGTCTGTAGGGTCTAATACTCCTACCATATTTATGTGCAGCCAAGTAGATGAGCTATTAAAGAAAAACTGGGTTAATACTTAAACAAATAACAATCTGACTGTACATTATGGTCCTTCAAGCCGGATTGAACCAGCGATCTATATGTATATTTTTCTACCCTTAATGATAGAATATTTTCTTAAAATTTAAATGGTATCATTCTTGAGGCATATATTTAATAAAAAAGAATCATTGAAGACGATTTATAATTAGTAAGGATATCGCGTAAAATATATGCACAAATCTGCGGTCGAATTTCTTTTTCCATTCCTTTTTCAGACATCTCCGAAAAAATTCGACTGCGTGTGTTTTTGAGATAGCTAATAATACCAACTATTGAAATCTGTTTTCTTAAATAATGTTAATTATTGATTCCAACCTAGCTCCAGTAGTGATCCTGAATTATATAATGACTATTAATTATATCATCGCTTTATAACATCGGCACCAAGCCTATTGATTTTCCCTATGTTTAATGCAAATTTTAATGTTTGACAATAACTTATTAAAAATGATCACAGTTTGTAAATTACTTAATTAAATATAGATTGATTTCAAAACTATACGAACCTTGATTGTTTCCTAAAAGGTCTGAAAAATAAACAAAACATGCGTTTTATTTTTGTCCAAACAAAATAGAGCAAATTCTGTATCACAATAAATTGATTTGTAAAAAAAAAGGTAAACAATTTACTTTCAAAATCAGGATCCTGTATTGAATACGTTCGATTCCAAATCCAAATATGGAGGATACACATTTTATTTTTAGTAAGTGTCCCGGTTTTATCTGAGCAAATTGTGGTAACGGCTCCTAAAGCTTCGATAGCTTCTAGGTTCTTTACAAGACAGTTTTTCTTAACCATACGCTGTGCTGTTAACGTTAATGAGGCAGTCACTGTGGGCTGCAATCCTGTATATGATCAAATATTTATAGGTTGATATATTTACATACTGCAGTAGACTTAAGATTACCTACGAGTACTTACTTAAGCTTACTTCTGCTTTATAAGAAGTAAACTACTAAACTGAAGAAGTAAATATGTTGGTAATAATGTCTCGGGCAGTCTCAGGTTTAAACTAAGGTTTAAGAAGAGTCCTTTGTACGAAAGAAGTCCCCTAGAAGTGGCGCCAGTCTTCGCGAATTTGACATTTACTGCCAAATCCCATGTTTATTTATACTTATTATTTACGTTGGACTTCTTTCGTTAAATAGTCTCTAGTTAAGTTATTTTAAAGCTGAGATTAAGTATAAACTTTTTGTAATAAGACCGAATTATGGAGTATCATATTTCAGAGAAAACAACTTTTTTTTATAGAATAAGGGTGACAAACGTGCACACAGACCACCTGATGGTAAGTGTCCCATAAACATCTATATTTATCCTCAATTAAAAATCAAAATACAGATGCGTTATTACCCCTGGGAACTAAGATGGAATGCCTCGTTTCCAGTAAAAAGGGTCTCCGGTTCTCTACACTCACCATACGAAACACAGTAACATTAAGCTGCTATTTCACGTTGGTATTCTGTGAAAGCGCGGTCCTACCCGGACCCATTTGTGCTACAACCATAATGTAGCTGCAGCGTGGCTCACCATGTCCACAAAACTTACCAGATCATTAAGGTAAAAAATTATAAATGATAACAGCTTTTGCTTTAAAAAGAGTGCATATATGCTAGCTGATAAATCAATGTGGCTCAGTGACCGCTAAATATCATTTATAAATAAGATGAAGATGCTGCCAGGCTGTTCCAATGTGGCTTGGCGGACTTCATCGCTACGTCCTCAGCTGAACATAAGTCTCTCCCACAGATTGCTTCAAGCGCATTCCTGAGCACGTGCAGCCGTCAACTCTGAATATTTCATCAGTTCGTCACTTCATTTAGTAGTCCTGCCCTGGCTTTATGAATCATCAGTTAAAATTGGCAGACTTCAAATGCGTTTAAGACCGCAAAATATAATAGGTAACTACACTATGGATTTACCATAAATTTCATATACCTTCAGGAATATTAGCGACAATAATGCCGATCACAAATATTGTCGTCTGTATGAAAGGATATCCGAGTATTGTTGAAGCGATAGCTATTACTATTCCCAGGCACAAAGCAAAGACAGACATGCAACGCATAAAACGACTAATTTCTCTAGATAGAGGCGAAGGCGCAGGTTGCAATCGAGCTGCCAACCCTGCAACCCGACCTAGGGCTGTCAAATCTCCGCAACAAAGGACCACACCTGTAATGTTTTTAAATTTTTAAAATACGTACTTAATAATCACAGAAAAAAAGTCATTTTAAGATCGCAAATAGTCTAGGGTGCGTTTATATATATATGTGTATATTCTATGTATGTGTTGCATGTATATATTTGAACTGAATTATATCATGACAACTTAACTGCCCAAACTCACTCTCTGTTCTACCCAAGGTTAGCTGGTAGAGAATGCCATATAGCATTAAGCTCGCCTTTTGTACAAATATTTGGTACAATAAAGAATAAATAAATAAATAAACGTCGATAGTTGTAAGTTTTTTTATAAGATAAGGATGACATGCGAGCACATAGTCCACCTGATGGTAAGTGGTTGCTGTGGGCCATAAACATCTACATCTGTCCTCGTTTGCGAATAAACTGCTGATGCGCTGTCAGCCGTGAGGACTAAGATGGAATGGGTCAGCTCGACCGGAGAGGGATCACACTCTCACAGAATAACAATGTAAAATAGCAGCTTAATACTGCTGTATTACGTATGGTGAGTGTAGAGAACCGGAGACCCTTATACTGGAAATGACGCATTCCATTTTAGTCTTCAAGAGTGACAAATGCGATGCATCTGAATTTAGATTCTTAATTCAAGATAGATATGTAGTTGTCTATGGGCCACAGCATCCACTTACTATCAGATGAACTGTGTGCTGGTTTATCACCCATATTCTAGATATAAAAAGGTGTTCCGTGCGTCACTCAAGCCCCTTCTGTTCGCTACAAACTTTTAATTACCTCACTACATTTAGGTATTGCACATACTAAATATAATAATTCCACAGCCCGCAATTTTTTTTAATTTTTAGGAGAAAAGAACAGGCTAATAAACTTAGTAAATCTTATCAATGAAATTATCGTTAATATGATGAATATCCTTCCATGATATAAAAGCAATGCTAGAAAAACATAACGCTTAGTAACTGTTATATGGAAAAATAACTATGTCGCAATACTAGTCCAATCAAAAGACCGACAATAGGACGCAACATCCCAGATGCGAGAAATCTAGTATTGCGAACATCAATATGTCTGCCAAGCGTATTCAATAAAGCTATAAATAACTAGATACAAGTGTTGTATTTAGGAGAGCTTATAAATATTAGAAAGACTTTTAAGAAAGCAAAAAGTACACAGCGTTACCCCAATGTGCGTTGGCTGACTTCACCCTTCAAAATACTTTGTTTTATTTCCAGACATCTAATTTTCCCTTTTCTTTACGATGACTTCCTTCACATGGTAAAATTAAGAAGTGCCGACAAAGTCAAAGGCAAAATTTTAATATTGGATAAATAATTAATTTAGGCTTGTTTAATGCTCATAAGAACGACGAAATCTACACCGGCGACCAAAAACAAGACCTCAAAGAAAAACCGGCAAGAAACTATGGGGTATTTTTTAAGCCGCATTACAGAAATCGAACTCGATTTGCTGGCGTACTATGAAATTTGAAAATATAACTATTTATTCTATATTATCATACTTTATCCATAATCATTTTTTATTTATTTATTCTTAGAAAAAGTGTACATTCTTTACGTTTTAAATTTTGCCAAACTGTAAGCCAGTTTGTCGGCAAAATGATACTGAATAATACTGATACTGCATTTTGAATAGATATACTTTTTACAATAGTCATAAAGTAGCTGTCCCCAGGCACTTCGCCCGCGTGTAATTTGGATTTCATGGGGTTTGCGGAACCCTAATTCTTTTCCTGAAATAAAAGTAGCCTAAGTTACTTCTTATAATATCAGCTATCTGCCAGTGAAAGCCCCATCCAAATCGGTTCACAGGTTTTTGCGTGATGAGTGTTCAGACAGACGTCGTGTTAGAGTTTTATTATAGTAATAAAATAGATAGAAGATAGATAGATAGATATATGGATAGATTAGACTTTAATTACTATATGATTGTGAATAAGAAATGTTATAATTATAAGGTAAACTAACCAAATGCCCATCCTTCCACGCACAGTGTCGAGAAAAAAGCAACATTAAGTGATTCTAAAATATTTGGCGATCCTTCTGTGTTCGACCGTGACACAGCTATGCATTCTCCAGTTAACGACGAATTATCAACCTAAATAAATATTACTAAGTACTTGTTAACAATTTCTTTTAAAATCTATAGGGAGTAACTACATTTAATCAGCTCCATTCGGGTTTTAGCTGGATCATTTTGGTTACAATTATACAGTTCCGCTTTTTTCAGCCGCGTACAGGATCGAAAGTGCGTCATAGCGTGCTATCTCCGTTGAAACGCATCTATCTACCGCGTACAGCGCTGGATAACTGAGAAGCGATTACGTGCTCACGGTAAACTACTTTTATTTAGTATTTTGCACTCAACATGGACAGATCCATGTGCGACATTATTATAGTTACGCTTCTTTCAGAAGAAATAGAAAAACTAGAACGTAATAAACGCAAACGCAAACGACAGTGGGTCGACCTCAGTCGACCTCCTTTAGAGGAACGGAAATTTGGTTAAAGAATTCGTGACATTGATACCCTAATTAAAAGAAAAGAATATTTAACAGAACAATAATAAAGAACATTTTCGGATGAATATTCAAAACTTTAACGAAAATGCAGTTATTGCGACCAGGGTTACAAAAGCAAAATACAAAATTATTTCTGTTTACACATCCTCTCGAAGATTGTATGCGAAATGATTGGTGTATCAACTAATGCAAGTCGCAATTTGTCATCGAGGACAGTCCGCATACAGCGCTGAACGCGGCGGAACAGCGCTGAACGTGGCAGAACAGCGCTGAACGTGGCGGAACAGCGCTGAACGTGGTGGAACAACGCAGAACTCCGGCATTAGCGTGCGTATTAGGCTCGATTTACATTGCGGCGGAATGGAATGGAAGCGAATTTTTGTAACGAAATTGTACATAGTAAAATGAATTTTATATTAATTGCCTAACGTGGAAACTAGATATGATAAAAGAAGTTGGAATTCTCGAGAATTCCACGGAAGATGCGCGACTTTTTTTGGCTCATATCTAGTTTGCACGTATAAAAGTATATCAAATGATTTAAAACAAAAAAGAAACAACATTGTAATATATACTTTGAATCCTTTGCTTTCAATAATTCGAATGTCCGCCGGAATAATGTCACCGGACTTCACTTGAACAATGTCCCCTTTAACCAAATGTGCCACCGGCATCGCCGGGTTCCACACTCCATCACGAATGCAGTGCGTGGACATTGGGATCATATTATTGAATATCTTCAATATCTAAAAAAGTAACTACACTTTATTACTTAGTTTTTGATACTTTAACGAACTAAATCAGATATTACTTAAAAATATTTTAGTAGAAACCTCGGTATTTAAAATATTTTTAAGCCATAAATTAAGCTAAGTCGCTCATTCGAGTCAGTTTGTGTGTTCATCATCATTACAGCCCCTCACAAGTTCGCAGCTGAACGTGGGCCTCCCCCAACGAATGACACAAAACACTGTCCTGAGCCACCTGCTTTAATCGACTTCCTGCATGTTTTACCAGATCGCAACTCTATCTAATGTGGGGCCGCCCTTTCGCTTATTGGAGGCCGTTATTTGAGAACTTTAAATTGATAAATTTTTTGTGTGTACGAGTATGGACACGCATATTTTTGGGTAAGTTCTCTATTATGGAAATATTTAATTGTAATGAAATAAAAGTGCCTCCCAACGGATAGGTCTCAAGATGAACATGGACAAAACAAAGATCATGATAAACGTCCATGTCACATCTATGCCGGTAGTTGTTGGGAGCAATAAGCTCGAAGTTGTTGACGAGTATGTTTGCCTGGGACAAATAGTAAGTCCAACTTCGACCGAGAGGTCAATCGACGGATTCAACTCGGCTGAGCAGCGTTCGGGAAATTACGACACATCTTCTCGTCAGATATACCTCAAAACTTGAAAACGAGACTGTACAACAAGCGCGTGTTGCCAGTGATGACTTATGGAACTGAGACCTGGTTCTTCACTGCTGGCCGTATGAGAAAGCTCAAGGACGCTCCGCGAGCTATGGAGAGGGCTATGCTCGGGGTTTCTCTGCGTGGTAAGCTTAGAAATGAGGATATCCGCAGTAGAACCAGAGTGACCGACATAGCCCCACGGATTAGTATGTTGAAGTGGCAATGGACCGGCCACATAAGAACCGGCAACCGTTGGGGGAAAATGGTTCTCGAGTGGCAGCCTCGTACCGGTAGGTGAAGTGTAGGGTGACCCCCACTAGATGGAGTGACGACCTGGTAAGACAATGCAGGAAGTCGACGGATGCAACTGGCTCAGGACCGTGCTTTATGGCATTCCTTGGGGGAGGCCTATGTTCAGCAGTGGACTTGTGAAGGGCTGCAGTGATGATGATGATGATGATGATGATGATGAAGATGATGAATTAAATAAAAAAATAACGCCACACTGTGGTAATTCGCACTAGTTAGTAGCCAGGGCGTTTTGCTAGTAATAAATAAAATATTCTCCTGCTTTATTGACTCGTAGAAGTCCACTGGCAAACTTATAAAGCTTAAAAGGCAGGCGAATTAACATCGCAGTGCCAGACGTCTCGCACATTTAACGTTGGCTTGGGCAAAAAATATCGATATATCGAAATATCGATATTTTCTCATAAAAATATCGATATGTGTCGTCGATATTTTTTGTACATCGTTATATCGATATTTATTTTAGATTACCGAATTCGTATCAATTTTAATATATTTTAAAATGTTGTATTTATGGACAAAGCAACAAAAGCATACATGTGGGGTTGTCATTTTTTTTCGTCGTCCAACTGTCGGTAAGTAAATTTTGGGCCGTATCCCAGTACTGTTTAAAAATATCGATACAATATATACCGACATATTTTTTGCACTTGCCTATCCCTAATTTGATGCTGTTGTCCGTCATCAGCCTGGGTAGTTTACTTCTGACGTAAACTAGGTTAACCGCCATCTATTGGAAACCACAAGATCTATATGCCATAAACCATAGTCGTCCCTTGTGACTTACAACTAACATACCCATGAGATAAAATAGGATGAAGAATCCTACACTACTGCCGTCTGGATCACCAGACGGCAGTTTCTTTTAGCATGACAAAAATCTATCACGATGTTCTAGCGTCAAATCATAATTTTATCTTGATTGAATTGTCCGCAGTGACAGATAACACTTAATAACAAACATTTCACTACACCTAATCAGGATAGGTACATTGTTTGTACTAATTTTCCAAATACAGTTGGAAAATATCAGCACATCCACGCAAGGTAAGATATTGTAGTGCCATAACTGTATGATGTAGCGAGGGCTCAGTTGTGCCTTACGTCCGCTGTTTAAAAATATAATATTCTATAAAAAAAAATATTCAAAAAGCACAAAAAGTGGGTATAAATTAAAAATCTAGATTAAATTTTACATAAGATAGTCTAGAACTATTAACCGTAACATTCGTCTTACGCGATCTATCTAGGGATTTGTCAAAATCGGCACTTTCAGCCCCGCTCTCCCCTACAAAGATACTCACAGGTCTTAATAAACCATATACGTGTTCTTAGGATCGAGTAGACTATCATAAAAAATCCAAAAATCTCATAATTTTTTTTTAGAAATATTGACTCCTACTTGAAAGCTAATCCAAGATCCATAATTCATAGGTCATAGCTTGCTTATGTTTAATCTAAAATAGGTCAGCGTAGCACTAGCCAATATGCAACTGGATTGTCATACCATTTGAAATTGTATGGTAGTGTGTAATTTTAATACCATTGTTCCGCGAGCAGCGCGTGTGAACCATACAACAACGCACACGACATGAGTACGAGATGCATACGCAACTGGACGGCTCCCCTCTTAAGGTAATTTATTATTATTCAATTTACACTTTCATATAATTCTTACCTTTGAACTTTTAAAATTTTGAAAAAAACTGAAAAGGCCACAGATTACGTCGACGGCAACCAACACACATCCCAAATATAAATTGTCTTTACTTGGACGAGCCTTCGTTGAAGATTCTATAACGTAGGCAAGTAAGCAGAGCAACGCTCCAAGCCAAATTAATATCGAAAAACCTATAAAATATTAATTTTTTCATATAGCTAATTAATATCTCTTATTATATATTACTTCGTTGTAAGCGGTAGTACTAAACTATTCCTCAGCACATTTTCATACCTTACCTATCGTAATGGTGTCTAATGCCCAGCCCCCTTATCATGTTGCTTTGCGAACCGTTAGAAATTTTATTGGACTAACTTAGTCAGACCAAAGGTCTTGACCTTGGCTTGCCAAACAGTATAGTTGGTAGGCCAAGGACAAAACTTTTTTTTTAAAAGAAGAAAATAAAAAAAAATAATGAATGAATTTTTTTTTTTGCTAATTATATTTACTATGTTCTTGCCCAAAAATAAACGAACGAAGAAGAGAAGACGAAGTGCAGAAATAACTATTTTGAAAGCAATATACTACAAATTTGAAGATTTATTCTTAAGCTTCTTTCTTCCTTAATCAGTTCACTGATTGGCATGGGCTGTTCCATAAGGATTAACCAACATAGCTCGCACTATATCGATATATTATATGACACTTTCGACGCTATTCACCGTCACCGGTCTGAATATTTCACACCTGGTATGTAGGTACGAGATATCTTTGCCGCTATCTTTCGGATGCAATAGGATCTTTTATCTATAACAAAGTTACAACGCACGAAACCATCCGCGGTGACGGATTTTCTTATACCGCCACCACACGTCACTTAACTTCTTATTTACCTACTATTATGTGTATTTGACTGTCTCGTTGGTCTACTAGTTATAGTAGTGCTGTTGATATGAGGTCATGGGTTCAAATCCCGGATCGGGCCAAAAAAAACAGTTATTGAGCTTTTCCATCACGAAATTCTCAGTAGCTGCCCGGAGTCAGGAAGTTAGCGGTGTTTCACGGCCGTGCCTCGGAAAGGACATAAAGCCGTTGGTACTGCATCTGATCTCTATCCGGTCGTCTCGGTTTACCGTCCCATCGGACTATGAGAGTGAGGGAATAGACAGTACACCTGTGCTTACGCATACACATAGGCAATATAATCCTGTACTGCGCCGTTGACTAGTCTCCGTTGAGGCTGGCAGCCGTGACCGAAATTCAGTCTGGAGGACGTTGTACATTATGTGTATTATTTAAGCTTACATTAAGGTAGTCATAAAAGGTCTTAAACTGCAGAAGTATTGGGTTTTATGTTTTAACAGGTATGGAATCTGTATTTTAATGCAAATAGTAGATAGCGTTTTAAATATTTGAAAAGGGAATTTCACGAAAATGTTAGCGTATTCGACAAATTGGGAAAGGATAACCATCTGAAATACCCTGATTTTTTATAGAAGTAGGATGACAAACGAGCACACAGTCCTTTTTATATTTTTTTAAACGTTACCACCACACTAGGATTTTCTCCTGTATCGTGGAGGCAGTTTACAAATAGAAATTGCACCAGGACAAACATCCAGACCCGGAACAATTATTTGTAGGCCATACAAATACTTCTTCCGTGCGGGATTCGAACCAGCGGCCCCCAGCGCAACAACTCATTGCTAAGCCACTGTGCCATGGAGCCGTGTATATAGTGGGTGCTGTGGCCCGTAGACATCTACATCTATCCTCAATCAAGAATCAAAATGCAGATGCATTGTCATTCCTGAGGACTAAGATGGCTTTAGCATTAAGCTGCTATTTTACGCTGGTATACTGTGAGAGCATGGTCCTTTCCCTGTCGAGCCGACCCATTTAAGCCACTACTATCATATAATATAGCTGCAGCATGGCTGTACCACATATAAGAAAGAATCCTTATTATTGCAAAATGTTCAGGTACGTCATACGTATCCTGGAGAAATAAGGGTGTCGCGAAACAAGAACGGGAAGACAAACTAACAACACGCTAAAGCTAACTAATATACTCATTAAAATTGTTATCATACCAGTAAACAAACTTTTGAACAACATTTTTGGCCATCTGAACTGTGTGGTAGGTGTCAGCGTGTTAGGGCCGTAATATTGTAAGAGCTCCGATGCTTTAGCACTCGTCAATCCTTTTATTGGATCCGTTCCCAGTAGGCTGTAAAGGTTTTCTACGAAACATTTACATATATTCGATTAATTATCTACACTAAGTATTCGTCACTTGAAACAAAATAAAAGCGGCCAAGTGCGAGTCGGACTCTCCCACGAAGGGTTCCGTAGCAGCAAGTAACATAATTTACGATTTATGACGTATTTAAAAAAACTACTTACTAGATCTCCTTCAAACCAATTTTCGATGGGAGTTTACATGGTAATGTACATGATATATTTTTTTAGAAGTTACATGAGGGGGGGGACACATTTAACCAATTTGGAAGTGTCTCTCGCGCAAACTATTCAGTTTAGAAAAAAATGATGTAAGAAACCTCAATATAATTTTTGAACACCTATCCACACGTATGGGTTTGATGAAAAATTTTTTTTAAGTAACAGTTCTAAGTATAGGGAACCCCCAAAATTTATTGTTTTTTTTTCTATTTTTGTGTGAAAATCTTAATGCGGTTCACAGAATACTTCTACTTACCAAGTTTCAACAGCATAGTTCTTACGAGTATAGTTGTATAGTCTCGGAAAAAAATGGCTGTAACATACGGACGGACAAACAGACAGACATGAAGAATCTATAAGGGTTCCGTTTTTTGCCATTTGGCTACGGAACCCTAAAAAAAGCCAATCTCTTAAGGTAGGTAAGTGAAACTTTCTAGGATCGGGCTTTTTGATGTTTTAATAAGTTAAGCTTTTTTAAAATATGTTCTTGTCACGCATTCTTCAAAACTTAAAATGTTGTCAGCAATGAGATATGGATCTTAGATCTGGAAACGAACGAACCTTTACTGCTGGCTATTTGCGGAAGCGTTAAGGTCGCTCAGAGAGCTATGGAGGCGACTATGCTCGGAATTTCTCTGCGTGAAAGAATCCGCAACGATGATATTCGCAGTAGAACCATTGTAACTGACACAGCCCAACGGATGAGTAAGCTGTGGCAATGTGCCGTCGTATAACTCAAAATACCGAAAACCGACGAGGAAAAAGGTTCTTGAGTGACAGAATTTTAGGTACTGGTAAGAGAAGTGAAGGGCGACCTCTCACTAGATGGAGTAACAACCTGGTAACTGGTAAGCGATAGAGGAAATCGATAACTGCATGTGACTTGAACCGTGTTTAACATTACTTGTAGAGGAATGTGTTCAGCAATAGGCTTGCGATGTCGATTGGGCTGTAATGATAATGTGTAATCTACAAGAATAATACAGTTCGTTAAAACGATCACATTTTTGTCAATAGATAGGATATATAAAAATGTATAAAAGTAAATCAACAATATATAGAAGTGATCTAGTTAGGCAGGGGTCTAATTATAGAGATGGTAATGTAGGTACCGGTTAAGTCTTTAGAATAGAATAGAATAGAATATTTTTTATTCAATATAGATCACATGTGTAATTCTTATTGAAAGTCATTTTTTACTTTACCTGTATGATTTCCGCTTTCTCAAGAAACATCCTGTTATCTGTGTTATCCTTATACTGCAAATATAGTTTTAGAAGTGCAGACTCGTTACTCACTTACAATGAAATTTCAAGCTTTCCCCTAGCTCTTGTTCAAAAATTAATCAAGTATCATGTACTTACTCAATGGAATAAGATGGGCGTCAGTTTCAATCTCCTTTTTCAATGCGTTCAAACGAGTACTACTCAAATCTCTTGATCGCAGTCGTTTAGGATTGTTCGGTCGAAACAATTCAGTGATGGAAGATAAACTAGAAGTTCTTGAGTGCATAATGCTAGTAATGTGATTATTTTATATCTCTCCTAACAATATAATGACATAGTTTTTATTTCATAATCTAGTAGGTCACGCCAGTTTACAATGAATTTAATTTAAAGAATTTAAAAGGTGGGTCGTCACTCATCATACCGCAACATTATTAGACCCCTTTGTTTTTCAACGCATGTCGCACCCGAAGTGTCAATCACCACAGGGTTGTTAAATAATTAAAAGCACTTAAATATTTTAATTTTTATTTTACATTATTACAATTAATAACCAAGTAAAATTATATAAATTACGAAGTTGTTTTTAACCTTGTTTTATTAAACTTTCACAATCTCATTCTCATCCTAATATACAAGTACCTACAACTTGAGTCTGGAAATATATTGGAAAAAAAGCGCTGGGTCAAGATTCAAATTAACTTTTTCTTTAAAAAAAATAGCACATCTTTAATACAAAATAATTAATAACAAAATCAAAAATAATTAATAAAAAAAATGTTACATTAAATTCGATTCCAGTGCTTAACAATAATTGACAAATTAGTAGGAGGCACCTGCAATCTAGTATGAATATTGTAGACTCGTTCGCGCAAGTATAAATGCTGGCTGCTTACATTAATCTTAATATTTTCGCATGGCAAAAAATGTGATTGCCTCATAAGTATGTGTATAAAATATTTAACACAAAAAACCCAAAACCCTTTCGATTAGAGAGAGCAAACTGCCGGCTCTGTTCCCTGCATACCTCTACCTCCTCTGCATACTCGTTACCCTGCGTAAGTAGTAAGTACCTAGTACCTACACAAGTCCAAGTCGGCCGACTATTCAGTAAATGTTGAGACTGTGAGGATACGAAACACTTTTTAACCATTAAGATTTAAAACTTATGTCTGCGTTACCAGACCAATGCTTTTAAGGGTTACCGAAACATGTGATAGTTTTGCCTTCCCAGTTGGCCTTGCTTTGTCCTCGTTGAGAAGCTGTCTAACATTACTGATTATACGAGGGCTGCACTAAAAGTATCGGGAATAGAATATTTCCACTGTTCCTGTCATATTAAAATCTTTTTAATTGAAAACCCCTTGGTTTTAAAAATCGAATACCATTTATTTATTTAAAAGATTCTCGCTCTTGCCACAAGGTATTATCAAACTTGTTTAGTCGCAGAGAAAATGGAATTTACTCGAGAAAATTCAAGAACGATGATTTATTATGACTTTGGAAGTGGTTTAACACAAAAACAGTGTGTTGACCGGATGATTTCTGCATTTGGTGATGAAGCCCCATCCAAAACCACAATTTATCGCTGGTTTGCTGAATTTCAACGTGGACGTGTCGAGCTCAGTGATGATCCCCGTCAAGGTCGTCCAAAAACTGCAGTCACGCAAGAAAACGTTGATGCTGTGCGTAAGCTGATTGAGGAAGATCGACATGTGACATACCGCGAAATTCAGGCAACTTTAGACATTGGCATGAGTCAAATACAAATAATCTTGCATGAACAATTAGGTGTAAAAAAGTTGTTTTCCCGATGGATACCGCATTCGCTCTGTGAAGAGCAAAAAGCGGCTCGCGTTACTTGGTGCGTCAGAACTCTCGAAAGATTCCACGCAGGATCCTCAAATGCAGTATACAACATCGTATTAGGTGACGAATTGTGGATATATGCGTACGAACCCGAAACAAAAAAGCAGTCACGAGTTTGGGTGTTCGAAAATGAGTTAAAGTCAACAAAAATTGTTCATTCACGGAGTGTTGCAGAAAAAATGGTGGCCACGTTTGTCTCCAAAACCGGCCATGTTACAACTATTCCTCTTGAAGGACAAAGAACGGTTAGAATGGTATGCTAGCATTTGTTTGCCACAGGTCGTTTCTGAACTCCGTAAAGAGAACTGCAAGCGCCGCATCATCCTCCATCACGACAATGCGAGTTCTCACACCGCACACAGAACAAAAGAGGTTTTAGAGCAAGAAAACATAGAATTATTAGGCCATCCGCCGTACAGCCCCGACCTAAGCTCTAATGATTTCTATACTTTCCCTAAAATAAAGAATAAATTGCGTGGACAGAGATTTTCATCACCTGAAGAAGCTGTGGACGCCTACAAAACGGCCATTTTGGAGACCCCAACTTCCGAATGGAATGGTTGCTTCAATGATTGGTTCCATCGTATGGAAAAAAGGAGATGTCGTATGGAAATTTCGCGGAGAATACTTCGAAAAGCAATAAATACATTTTTAAATAGTAATGTTGTGTCACTTCCTTGATTCCCGAAATTTTCAGTGCCGCCCTCGTATAGTTATTGCAATAAAGATGGAAATAAGTACATTATTGAAGTAGGTACCTAATAATATAGATTTTTAGAATTTACTATTTTTTTTTTGCAAACTGATATTTAAAACGTAACTGTAATTTTGTTTTATTTGAGAATGTTTGATGAGTAAATAATGAAAATTTGAGTGTGGCACCCTTATTCTTGACACAATTGTTTGCCAGACCATCCTTATATTTATTTTAACGGCTATATAAGATATAAGAAAAAATTAAACGTCAAAATGTTTGTTTTTATTCCTCTTTTAAATAAAATTGGTCTGGTATGTAAATGTTTGACCAAAATCTCGCCAGACCAAGAATAAGAGGCTCATTCGCTGCTACTTGTTAAGCGCGAGTATTTCTTTTCTTATAATTTTTTAATTTCTTAATAAATTATTGAAGAATTTCTAAAGACTCCGAATAATTAAGGGGGCAGAATATTTCTGGAAAAACTATATATTTGTAAACAATGCGCCGCAAAATGTTAAGGGCGGATTTTTTAGTATAATTGATATTTAACTGTCAATGTGGGAAATTGATTAAAAAATAATTAATTTAATTTTGGTAAATATTCAAATTTGAAATATGGTTGGAGGTTTGGTATAAAAATTTGCTTAAGTAATTTTAACAAAATAACATAAAAGTAAACATTGTTTCCCAATTAGCAAATTAATTGAGAGAATTTATGTTTAGCACTGCTTGGTTTTCACGCTTTTACTGGCAGTGATTATACGCCTACATCTTTTTATGGGAAAAGCAAAAACAGCCTTTCGACAGATTAAAAAAATAACATTATCAGCATTTGCTTCATTAAATAATAATGACCAGGAAAAAGTTGAAATAATTCAACAATACACAAATGAATTACACGGCGTAAAAAATGTAAATTCGTTAACTTAGTGAGACTTGAATTGTTCTAGAAGTTCTACACTAATACAAATAATTACCAAAAATTATTTTTTTAAATGTACGTAATTTTGACTGTAGTTTAATTCCGCCTTATTGGACAAGTCGTGAGCAAAAATATTACGCACAATTTTTGTTAATTCTCAGTGTATTCGACTTGATCCTTCAGAATGTGGATGGCAATTGAGAGACTATAACAATATATACGAACTAAAATGATAAAATGGTTTGAAGGCGACGCAATGCCATTAATCATTGAAATGTTGTCGAATGATATGGACGAAACCATCCCAGATGATGAAGATCTGTCATCCATATAGAGTGAATTATTCTGAAGACGAAAATGATTATTATTAATACTGACTAAAAATATTTTGATGAAATAAATGACGACTGAACTTAATAAATTGAACTTTAAAATCATTTTTTTACTTCTATTTATTATATTATCAATCATTTTAATTTAAAATATCACGATATTTTAATACATCATGTATTGAACTTATTTCGAATCAATTATGAGGGTATTAATTTTTTTTAAACATTTAGAATCTTGTGAAAAATTTGTTCCACTTTATAAAACTGTCCTGGAAAATGTTATCCAGTGATAAGTTATCAATTAATATATAGATTATAGAAGATAATAGGATTCTTTTGCATTTAAAGTCGGATATCTCAGCAATAAAATTACTTAGAGAGATGATAGAAGTAGCAAACAAAAGTTGAATAAAGAAGCTACGTGAGTAAATCATTAACTAATCTAAAAAAAACTGTGAATCCTTGGAAAGATAATTATAAGAAGATTTGAAACACACTATATCATCTCGCCTCTATTTTGCATATATGGTGAGGCTTATTTGTTTATTTTGTTTTAGCATGCTTACTGAATACAAAAGAAAGACTGATAGAAGTATGGCGAGTCTCGATACATATGAGCTCGCTGCAAAATAAGTAACATTGCAACATAAAAGACTCGTGATGCGGCTTCGAGTTACAACCTCAACCATACTTCCCTCTAAATGTTTTTTAAAGATAAAAAAGCTTATGGATCTTATAAAACGGCAACTCCTACATCGGTTGGATATCCATAAAATACTGTATTTTCATCTTCAGAGAAAAAGGTACTCTGTGAATACCATTTGAGCCGGTAAACATAGCAGTCAACACTATTTGCCACAACTGGATGCGATATAATTAAAAACAAGTCATAACTATATATTCCTGGGATAGTGAAAACATCATTTGATATCGCAGTCACACCGCGCAATATATGTTCCGGGTTCAGCACGACCGGATTTTGGCCAGTTAATACCGAAATATTCCTGGACGCTGGTTAGCTTTCGAGCCAAATGACCTCTGAATGAATAAATGAATGATCGGCCTCTCATGAGTTCTGCCGCCGAGAACACTGGCATCTAGCTCTAACTTAATAGGAAATTTAAGAAGTGAAGAACCCATGCCATATCATATGAATGCGAATGTCGTTCCGTCCACAGATTTACTTCATTACGTGTAGCATCCACATCACATGATAATTCAGCCAAGTCGAAGGCATCTCCTTTATCGCCTGAAACTCTCCGACCCTTTGGAAACGGCTCACCGAGGAAAGGAAATCAAACTGTTAGATTATCAAGTATAAGTATTTCTTTTTATGTCGAGTTTCTAAACGATTAACTGTTTTGGCATGTTCTTTCTCATCAACATTATGCTATTTCCAGTATAAAAGTAGTTGAGACTCATTTTTGATTCCTAACGTTTAAGAATTATGAAGATAATTTCTTTACTAATATTAACACATATAATGCCGTACTAACAAATGAACTAAACTTTTTTTTTTGTAAAATACGTTCGTGGAATGTGAGAAATGTCTTATTTCACTATTTTCGCCACATTTTACATATTATAATAGTAAAATAAATAAATAAATAATGGTGGCAGCCATATATGGCTGACGCGGCGCCACTGTAATAAAATTCACAATGGGGCCGTGTCAACCATTTTGTCAGCCATTTGATTTCAAAAGCGCGCGAAACGAGCGCGTCGCTCGCCGCCGCCGGCGCCATTTTGATTTTATATTGTCTTGTGTTTGCCCCCCGCGCGTCATTCGTCGCTGTGCATCGAAGGAGACTGCAGTAAATAGTTGTTCAGTGAGTGATTTAGCAAGTTATACGTTACTGATTTGTGATTTTCAACAAAAAATGGAATATTTTGATGATGATTTGGACTACGAACTATCGCAATTAGATTTATCAGAGTATAATCAAGAATGTAACACATTATCGAATAGTGATACCCTACAAGTATTTGACGTTGATCTCCATGAGACAATATCAATCGCACGGACCAAAAATCATCGTCGATGGCAGATTTTATCTGACAGTGAAGATGATCAGATTCCCATATTACCGCCCTCACGAAATACAGAAGTATGGTTCAATCCGTTGGGTAAGCAACCAAGCATTATTCCATATACTGAATGTCCTGGGCTTAAGCCATTTTCATTGCGATCCAGCATGAGTTCAGCTAAACCAGCAGAATTTTATTCATTGTTAGTACCTGATAGTATATTCAAGTACATAGCCGAAGAAACAAATCGCTTTGCTTTACAAACCTTGAACAAAAGTGCAACAAAATCATACCGAATGCAGAAATGGATGCCTACAGATTGCCATGAAATTAAACGCTTCTTTGGCGTTTTGATTTGGATGGGGATAGTTAAACTACCCCAACTATCTTTGTACTGGAGCACTAACAAATGTTTTGAACAACAATTTGTTAAGTCCATTATGAGCCGAAATCGATTCGAACTCATATTGAGGATGTTGCACTTTGCCAATAATGAAATAAATCACAATAAGGACGACCGATTGTTTAAAGTTAGACATTTATTAGACATGCTGAATGCTAATTTTAAATGTCATTATACACCTAATCAAGAAATGTGTGTTGACGAAAGTCTAATCCCATTTCGTGGCCGAGTTATTTTTAGGCAATACAATAAAAATAAGCGACACAAATATGGAATAAAACTTTTCAAGCTGTGCTCAAATCCAGGATACACTGTAAAAGTGCAAGTTTATGCTGGCAAAAACTATGATAATGTGAATACTACACCGACTAATGTTGTCCTTGCCTTATGTGACGATTATCTAAATAAAGGACATACTGTTTGCACAGATAATTAGTATACCAGTTTGGATCTAGCACGAAAACTATTAGAAGGACAAACTCACCTCATAGGCACACTTAGAAAAAATAGACGAGGTTTACCTCAAACAGTTGTTCAAACCAAACTGAAGACAGGAGAATTCTCAGCTCAAGAAAATGACGACGGAATAACAATTATGAAGTGGAAGGACAAGCGGGATGTACTTCTGCTGTCTACTAAGCACTCCGTTAGTTTCAGAAGAATAACTAAAAAAGGAAAAGAAAAAATAAAACCGAAGATTGTGCTAGATTATAATCATGCGAAATCAGCAGTTGATCTGTCAGACCAAATGTCCTCTTACACGACCCCTCTTCGGAAGACAACAAAATGGCCCAAGAGATTGGCGATGGAGCTATTACTGAATACAGCGATTGTAAACTCATATATTTTATATAAATTAACAACCAAGAAGAAGCTCTCTGTCGTCCAGTTTAGAACCGCGTTGGTTGAATACCTCGTGAATACAGGAGTCCCGGAAACTAGAGCCTCCGCTAGACCTAGGCGAGTAAAGCATGAATCGAAGAAGAGGCAAGGGTTGGCCTCTGCCTGTCGTAAATATTGTGTTAGGTGTTATAAAGAAAACTGTGCCCAATTCGGAAGAGTTCATGCTCGAAATAAAACCAAAAGAGTGGTAACATATTGCGAGGATTGCCCGAATGAGCCACACTATTGTATCAACTGTTTCAATTTAGACCATAGATATGTTTGAGTTAAACGTGTTTGAACATGATGATTGATGTAGGTTTGATTTATTATGTTGCCAATGCCAATGTAAATATGAATAAAAACATTTAAAACATTTAACCACACGTATCATTTGCAAAAAACTAACCATTTTTCTTATCACTCTTTTGTTTTCGAAACTTCTGATTACAAAATTGATATTACTCTAAATGTAAGTAAAAGTATTGATGCCATCACTATAGTTATAATTTATCAGGCCTTGTCAACCATATTACATACAGTTTAACATGAAAAACGTGGCTGACGACGAAAAATCGCACTTTCAAAACATGCATATTCCGTCAGCCACATATGGCTGACACGGCTCAATTGGTTTGGAAAATGTCAGCCATATGTGGCTGACGAGGCATTATATGTGTTAAACATTTTAAAGTATATTCACATAATTAATCACTCAATAAAAAAGTACTTATTACAAATGTTATTGTAACTAGGAAACAAGCTAGCCAATATGGCTGAATTTTACTAAACTAAGTGATCAAGACTGATTTGTTAAAAATTTAATAAATAATTAAAGACTATTATGTTTACACTTTAAAAGTGGCATAGTCTGAATCTATCGCCCATAAAGGTTTGTTGTTGCTAGATATTATCTGCAGCACTCGATATAACAAAAAAAGAAGTGATCGGTTTACGTCTGATGTAACGCGCATATCTCCTCGATCTATTATTACTCGGACTGGTAGGTCCATTCGTGTGCCGAGCCGATATATTGATAATGTCATATAAAGTACGCTCTAGAGGGCGCTGTAGGTGGAGACAGTAATTCGCGGTTTGTTAACTCCCATAGATACACCACAGAGTACCTTTGTATAAACCGAAATAAACCCTCTGATCTATGAAATACTGAGATACACTCTGGTCTACTATAATATATCGATCAATAGGATAATTAATCTGCGCTCACTCAATCTTTATATATAAAAATTACGTGTCACGTTGTTTGTCCACGATGAACACCTAAACTACTAAACTGATTGCAATGAAATTTTGCACACTGTGTCCAGTTTGGTCCAACTTGAAAGAACCTGAAAGAAAACATCAGTCAGCAGTTTGGGTCTTCGAAGACGAGGTTAAACCAACGAAAGTCGTTCGCTCCCGCAGCGTGTCAAAAAAATGGTCGCTACGTTTGTCTCGAAAAAGGGGCATGTTGCTACAATTCCTTTACAGGAACGCAGAACGGTTACCGCTGAGTGGTATATCACGGTTTGTTTGCCAGAAATAATAGCCGAACTCCGAAAAAATAACCCGAAACGTAGCATCATCTTACGTCACGGTAATGCGAGCTCCCATACGGCTCGGATGACAAATGATTTTTTGAAGCAGAAAAACGTTGAGCTGCTGAGCCATCCTCCGTACAGTCCTGACCTGAGCCCAAACGATTTCTTTACATTCCCTAGAATGAAAGATTTACTACGCGGTCAACGGTTTGAAGACCCCGAAGCAGCTGTGGAAGCGTACAAATCAGCCATTTTGTCAACATCAACTTCAGACTGGAATTACTGTTTTAGTGATTGGTTTGCACGAATGGAAAAGTGCATTAAGTTGAACGGAGAATACTTTGAAAAACAATAAAATACAATTTAGCTATACCGTGCTTGTGGTTTTTCTTATTCCCGATCATTTCAGTGTGCCCCTCGTATAAAGAATGTGTGGCTATGGAAGAGAGTATCGCTCTTCGGGGATTGCCCATGTAATTAACTGGATTGGCTGCAACATGGTGCAAGGAGTGAAACAATCAGTATTGACCTGGACGGAAGCAATGCAGTTGTTAAAACATACTTATGGTCCCCCTCTTCCACCGGATAAAATATATAGAGAACTGTTTAGTAAGGAGCAAGGCGATGAAAGCATGGATGCATTTGTTTGCAAAGCAAGAGCCTGCTAGCACAAATACCACCAGGAACGTTAGCTGAGAATCCTGTACAGTTAGACATGGTTTATGAACTGCTGCATAGGAGAATACGTGAAAAGGTAGTCAGAGCCTCCTTTATGACATTTTTGGAGTTACTTGAAAAAGCACGTGCTGTAGAGGACCTTTTTGAAGAAAGACGAATGAGACCACATATGCGTCAGCAAATTTCCTCTAATAGATCATTAGCTGTATCTTCATCTACCTCCAATAATACTCAGGCGCGACTAAATGCATCTGTTGCAACAAGTTATAGTGGGAATAATAAGTTTAGACCTCACTGTGCATACTGAAAGAAATATGGTCATGATAACGAAACATATAAAAAACGGCCACAAGTTAAAATGGGTCAACAAAAAAAGGACATAAGTAATAATGAAGCAGATGAGGTACTTCAGTTCTTTGTTTTGGATGTGGTGCACCAGGCGTGGTACGTTCGAACTGTGGCAATTGTAAAAAAGACAGTGGTTCTTCGGTAGTGAAAAATTCTGTTTCTTTCCAATCAGGGGCTGCTGTACATACTAAACTTAAAGAGCCTTATGTTCGACCAATGATAAATGTAAGTGTATATAATGCTAGTGCGTGTATTATAATAGATACCGGGGCAAAATTGTCAATCGCGAGTGATAGCTTAAGAAATGTATTAGTTAGTAATAATCAGAGGTTGATTAACACTGAACTTGAAATTAAATTAGCTGGTGGTTCAGTTTGTAATAGTAATGTAGAAATCGCTACTGTAAATGTAGGTATTTGTGGAATTGTTGTCTCCACGACTTTCGTTTTATTACCAGGTTTCAAGGACACGTTACTTGGCATGAATTTTATTAAAGATTCGGGAATAGTTATCGATCTATACTTAAATAGATTTTCATTAAGAGATGTAACAGGCAGATATTTTCCGTTAGTTTTCGAAAATGATGGTAAGTTTATAGCGTGTTCATCAATAGCTCTTCGTGATAACAAAGACACAATGCTTAACGATTCTGAACGTGAAATGATTTCGTCTATGTTAATAGAAAATATCCAGAGGGAGAAGCCACTAAATTTGCGGTACATCGTATTAACACATGAGACAATGCACCTATTGCAGTGCCGCCTTATCTATTGACTCCTGCGAAAAAGGAAATAGTACGCGCAAAACTGGATAAGATGCTAGAACAAGATATTATCGAAGAAGCAGAATCTGAGTGGGCTTCACCAGTCGTGTTGGTGCTCAAGAAAAATGGAGAAACACGATTTTGTGTTTACTATAGGAAATTGAATTCGGTGACCCGCACAAATAAATACCCACTCCCGCTAATCGACTAATTAGTATCCTCAACAAAGGCCAATTATATTATGTCAACATTAGATCTGAAAGCAGGTTATTGGCAGGTGGAAGTTGCAGAAGAGGATCGTCATAAAACTGCATTCACCACACCTTTCAGAACGTTCCGATTTCATCGAATGCATTTCGGCCTTAAAAACTCACCGACGACGTTCCAGCGCCTGATGGATCACTTTCGGACCGGGCTAAGTGATGTTTGCGTGGTTGCCTACCTCGACGATTTGCTTGTTGTTTCTGATGATGTTGCATCTCATGTACGAGATCTAAGAAAAGTCTTCGACAGACTCAGAATGTTTGACTTGAAAGCCAACCGTGATAAATGTATATTTGCTAGGAACAGAGGAAGATACCTAAGTCATGTGATTTCCTCTCAAGGAATCCAAACGGATCCTGAGAAGGTTGCAGCTATAGTAAACATGAGATCTCCTTCTAATTTGAAGAGTTACGTAGCTTCCTTCAAACTTGTAGTTGGTTCCGGAAATTCTTTCCGCAATTTTACGAAATAGCTAGACCGCTAACGTGTCTTACGAAAAAGAACGGAAAGTGGAAATGGGGTGAAGAACAGACTCAGGCGTTTGCTACTCTCAAAGATAAACTCACTTCTGCCCCTATTCTTCGCCAGCCGGATTTTAAAGTTCCATTGGTTATTCGTACCGATTACCGTACATTAGGTGCTGTGTTAATGCAAGGTGAAGAAGCCAAAGACGAACGCCCGATCGAGTACGCTAGTAGTTGTTGACTGCAGCTGAGCGCAATTATACCACCACAGAACGTAAGGCTCTAGCGGTGGTCTGAGCTCTTGATAAATTCAGGGGTTATGTGGAAGGTTCGCAGATTCGGATTGCCACTGATAATCAACCACTGCGATGGCTGATCTCTCTTAAAACACCCAGTGGGTGTCTCGCGTCTAGCGTACTCGATCGGGCGTTCGTGTGCCGAGTCGATATATTGATAACATTGTAATATTTACAATCAGATTCAAGTTCGTCATATTGAGAATACTCACGATCACCTACGAGGTAACGACATCGCTACCATCATTATCGCCGAACCCTCTCAGAGTAGGCAGACTAGCCATAAATCTCGTATTGACTCTCCTTCACCTTTTCAAAATCTAACGAAACGGCGGCGCAGGCGGCGCAGGCGGTGTGTCGAACGTGATAGCTCTCCATGCCATACTTACATTATACGGTCGCGTCGCAAATCAAAGCATTCGCACAAACACAAACATACACAGCGTAGCGTATCCATTGAAAGTGCAAACTCTGAGCAAGTATATTCTAAGCAAACCTCTAATAATAATATACTGCAACAATTGGTAAGTGCACTACAAGGTAGTAATTCCAACATTTTTAGAAAAACTACAAACCGACTCTGATTCAATTTTTGATACACCCCGAAAAATAAAAATTCAATAAAGATAGGAAAGTTTTTGCTGCAAAAAAGGTAATGTCAAAAAAATTATAATATTACAACGGCAAAATAAATATCCCCAGAAAAAAAACCGAAAACTTTAACTGCGACTGTTAAACTATTGAAAGAAAAATTCGGAATAAATAAACAAATAGAGAATGAGTGAAAAAAGCTGAAGTAGTGGAAATGTATTCTAATTTACATATTATATTTATTACATAAAATAAGAAAATCTCAAAAAAAATACTCACCAAGCATACGAAAATTTGCTCTCACTTGCAATTATTACTCACCGGCTGCTTATAAATACGTTCGTCAATTTTTCAAAATGCTTTACCCCACCCTCGTACTCTGAGCAAGTGTTATGGAAGTATTAACGCCGAACAAGGATTTACAGATGAGCCTTTCAAAATCTTGAAACTTAAATCTGACTCGACTTCCAAACCGGTACTTTGCTCTCTTATTTTCCATGAAATAGCATTGAGGTAGCAAAAGTTGTTCAAGCAGTAAAAGTTGAGATATGTAATTTTGGAGACTGTCCTGTAGAAGGACAAGAAGAAGAAGTAGCAACGCAAGTCTTAGTATTTATGCTTGTTTGTATGTCAGAAAATTGAAAAATTCCTGTGTTTTATTTTTTGGCGGCAGGTATTAGTGCTGATACTAAGGTGTCCTTAATAAGAATTTGTTTAAACAAATTCTATGAGGAGGTCCGACAAATTTTCTGGCTGTTGAAAAACTGGGATTCGACTTTGCTAATGTCAGTAACCTTAAAATACATTTTATACATCCGAAAATTATACGAAACACATTTGGGAATAAAAAAATACTATACGATAAAGATGACAAGTTAGAAAATGGCAACTTCTTGTTAATTTGGTCAGATTACAACAAAGTCAAGGATTTAAGTTTGCCAACAAGTTGTCCCCCCAGCATGTTCACTTTCGCGACCAAATGATGAAAGTAAAGCTAGCAACACAATTACTGAGCATGAGTGTTGCGAACGCACTAATTATTTGCAATAAGGAGTTAAAATGAACTGAGGAGGTACAGTGAAATGTATTACCGTTATGAATCATCTTTTTGATGTTCTTAATTCCCCATCTAACCATTTTTAAAGATAGAAAAGGCCTCATGATTGCAAAAAACAGGGAAGAAATTTTCGTTCTTTTAGATAGTGCCAAAAATTATATTAGCAAATAGCAGTTCCATATAAAACAAAGGCGAGAAATCCGAATGCCAAATCGGGAACCGAGAATATTAATACACATTTCGAAAAAGCGTATTATTGAGTCGAAAAATAAGACTGGATTTATTGGTGCTCTAATATGCATAGAAAGTCTTAAAAGGTTATATTCAACATTGGTGGAAAAATCTTTGATTAATTATTTCCAAGATCACTCGGAGCTGTTTTTTGGTTGCATTCGGAGACACGGTGGGAATAATAATAACCAAATGTTTTACAATATCGAGCTACATATAAAAAAGCGCTTAATCATTTATAGCTGCCCTCATCTTTTTCGGGGAATTGTATCCCACTGGATAACTTCAAAATACTGAATTCTTCTTCAGTGGATGTAATTAATGATACAGCTATAATGATGATGAAAGACATAATGATGATGAATTTGAGATACTTGAAAATGAAAGAAATATGGACTCTGACAGACTTACAAAAGCAAATTGTACAATTGTTGCTGATTATTTAAATGCGGAACACTTAACAACTGCTACAAAATTGATTGTGAGCTATATATCAGGCTATGTATCAAGAAAATTGAATAAAGAGCTGAAATGTGAAGAGTGCGTTTCTAGCTAGGTTACGTTAATTCGAATATGGAATCACAAATTGATTCAGCTAAAAGATATGAGAGGGCAATCCTATTCAACAGAAGACGTTTACAAAATTTACTTCAAAATAGAAACACTGATAAGTAATTTGAACAAAGGACACGGCAAAATTTGCCCAGGATGTCTAGTAGTATAGATACAATTGTAACAAATACATTAAAACATTTATTAATTCAGATGTATTGAAATCACTATATTCACACTCTTTACAGTAGCCAGGTACTTAGTGTTAAGTGCCTGGAACCTCACAACACTAAAGAGTGTCCTCGGCCCAAAGACGCCGAATCCCCACCCGCGTGCGTCCTGTGTAAACAAACAGGCCACCCGGCAAATTACAGAGGCTGCCCTTGCGCACCTCATCCTCGCCCCATTAGGCAAGCTCCACCGCCGGTCAATGACCGATCATTCCCGGCGCTCTATCCAAGAATGAGGTCAGGGCTTGTCTTAGCTCCTCCAGGGCTTCTCTCAGCCCCTTCAGAGCCCCTCTCGACCCTCTCAGGGCCCTCTTCGGCCCCCTTCGGGCTTCTCACAGCCTATGCAGCCTCCAGTATTTCCCTGGGGCCCCAAAAAGGCCGACCCACCGCGGACAACCTCCGCCCCCCAACAATCCCAGCCCTCGATGGTTGATGACCTTAACACGGTTTACGCCGCTATAAGGAACATCGACATCTGGGAGATCGCGATTCTAGCACGCAAATTGCGCGCTGCTCGGTCCCCTCAGGACCGTCTCCTCGCTCTTGTAGAGCATAACAATCTTTTGTGTTCGTTGTAAGTTAAGTTAGCTTAGCTAACTTAACTATACAATGACAAAGCAATCTGCTCTGCCAAAATCTCACGGTTGTATCTAACCTAGGGGTTTATCGCTTCTATCCTTTAACATTCGCGGTTTGCAAAATAATCTCCCAGAACTTAAGCTCTTTCTTCGAGATCGCGAAGCCGATTTCCTCCTCCTACAGGAAACTAATCTTATAACTAAGGACACTAAAGGCCTTTCCATTAAAAACTTTTCTCTTCTTCGTAATAACAGGCCCGACCGCCGAGGCGGCGGTACGGCCAATTATTACAAGACACTTCACTGCTCACCCAGTTTACCAACATGGAAGCCACGGTTTGCAGGCTAGCTATGACTGGACATCAGTCCATCTTCATAGCCTCCTGTTACATCCTTTCTGGAACCCTTCCCCTCAAAAAAGATTTTGAGGCTATCTTATCTTTAGGCAATTCAGTTATTATGTTTGGAGATTTTAACTCCAAGCATACTGAATGGACATGCCGTACTACCTCCCGTAGCGGCAGGATACTGCTCGATATCACGCAGTCTCTTGACCTTACCGTCCACAGTCCCCTCGGTGCTACTCACTATCCCGATGTCACCGACTACGCTCCCGACGTGCTAGATTTTGCACTATTCAAGTGTTTCCCTCAACCTCAGGGCAATCGAGACACTAGACGATCTAGGATTCGACCACCGACCGGTCTCCCTCATTCTTTGCCATCAGCCACCCCCCTCAACATCCTCTACGAAAACCTTCACTAATTGGAAGGGCTTCAAGGAGTCCCTAGCTAAAGCTCTGGACTCACAGGACTCCCCCATTTCCATATCGTCGGACTTAGACAGTCCCGAAAAAATCGACACCGCGGTCGTTTCACTCTCCACCCTTATTAAATCCTCCCTTAAGGATAATGAAAGGGTCGTCCCGGTTGCTGATAATAGTGGGCTTCCCCTACATATTAGCAACCTATTAAATGCCAAAAAGCTGCTTTCCGGAGCGGACTTAAGCCCAAAAAGGCTCCAGGCGCGGATGGCATCTCCAACCAAGCGCTAAAACACTTTCCTGAGCAGGTGTTAACCCTTTTATCTATTACCTTCAACGCCTGCTTCAACCTTAGTTACTTTCCCACTACGTGGAAAGAGACAACTGTCATTGGTATTCCCAAGCCAGGAAAGCCTCTCAACCTCCCCTCCAGTCATTGCCCCATTAGCCTCCTCAAGGCCATGGGCAAGCTCTTCGAAAGAGTCATTCTCACTGGCATGAGGCTCCATCTGTTTCCCACAGACGGTGACCCTCTTGTCATCCCCCATCAATTTGGTTTCCGAGCGAAACACATGTCCCCAACAAGTTCACCGTATTGTGGAATATATCCTCAGCGGTTTTTATCCTCGTCGTCATAAGACCATCGCGGTCTTTTTCGACATAACCAAAGCCTTTGATAGAGTCTGGCATGAAGGCCTTATCTACAAATT